TCAATAATGAATGAACGGGGAGACGAGTTTTGACACGACCTGTCTATCTCTGATAATGTCTATAAATAAAGGCGCTCAAGTTAAAAGCCATGTACGTAATCGTTGGAGCAGTTGTAGTGCACACACTCGTTGTTTTTCTGTTTTCACGATCAAGTTTGCCCGAGAGGCTAACTAGCCAAGCTGTCGCTGACACTGGCATTGGCCTACTCTCACTCCTCCCTTCTCCACATCGCCTTTTATTCTCACTCTCTTTCGTCTTTTACTATTACCCGTTTCTTCAAAACTCACGCTTTCCTCATACTTACTCGAAAAAAAAAAACTATCCTCCTCTGAAGTATTCAATCCAACATTTGCTCATGTGCCGTTGACAAGTCGGAAAACTACTGTCACGTACTAATTCAATGGAATTCAATGGAGAAAAGTTGTTTGCATTATACTTTATACATGTGCATTGTTGCACTGCTCAATATGAACTTCAATTGTTAGATATTTTTTGGTCTTTTGCTTCAATAATTTTGCATCTCAAAAGTATTCGATCCAACTTTTACTCAGTCGACTTTAGGAAAAGTACTTGTGACTTGCTAATTACATGTGCTGGTGACAAGTTATTTATTTTATACTTCAGGTATTATTATATTATATATATTATTCTTCCTGAGAAGTACACCTGCTACTGACAAGTAGACCTATTGCATCTCGAAAGTAGTCAAACCCTACATTAGCTCAGTCGCCTTTGAGCAGTCGGACAAGTACTTGTGACACGCTAATTCCACGTGTCGTTAAAAATTCGTATATATCATACATTATTATTGTATTTTGTCGTTGTGCAAATGCTGTGAAAAGTTGATCTATTGCATGTCAAAAGTATTGAAAACTTTTTAATGCACCGAGATATTTTTCCCGAATCCCCTCGAGCCGACACGCCCCATCGGGCGTAAAAATTCGTGTTCTCGTGCAGACGAAAGGTGGAAAGCGTCCACTGCCACTTGGAGATGATCCTCCTCTGCTGTTTTCTGTTATGAAAGTGTTTGCAAGTAGAGCGTCACAGAGACAACAAACTTTACCGAGTGCATACTTTTCTTCGCACTGACCGACTTAGCCGCTAATCCATCTCCGTATCTTCCTCATTTCCCCCACCTCAACTACCGCTATTTTCCTTTTCTCTGTTTATCTCGAACTCCCCTTTTTCTCCCATTTTCTCTTTCTTTTCATCCAAGAAAGTGCAAAAGTAAACGCACAATTCCTCCCTTCTCCCTCTCTTCCGTTGGTAACAGGAGAATGAGAAAAAAAATTAATTGGTAGCGCGGTACAACGGAAAAGGAAAGACTTAAAAATGAGTGCAGATAAAAAAGTTGAATTAGATATCTCGATTTCCTTTAGTTCGGCTCATTTTCCAGTACCTTGCTCCAATTTTCCAAACGGTCTGACAAGAGAGGGAAATCGTCCAAGTGAAATGCAATGCAGCGGGAGAAAATTGAAAAAAGGAAGTGATATTTTCATTGTCACAATACTTTCCTCACATTTATTCTCTCGAAACCCGAGTGGTTAACTCGGGGTTAAATCTTTCCCGAAATTTGCCCTCGTGGTTTCTAATTTTCTTATTTTTACCTCAAATTAGAGTAAAAACAATTTATTAATAAAAAATTATAAAATTTCAATGAACTACAATTATTCAATTTAATTGATCTCTTAATTTCTCGAAGATATTCACGAATAATCAATGAATTTATTATTCCGTAATTCTCCATAATAATACAGTCATAATAATAATCCAAAATCCGGAATTTTTTCCGTAATTCCAGGGCGAAATATTTCCCAGCGGGATTTCTCTCCCTCAAAAAAATTTGCAAATCAAAAAATTCGGACAATGACTCACTAAAAATAGGGATGACACTCTGGAGAGTACGGAAAACAAATTTTTTCAAGTATGCATCCCTCAGGAGTCGGTGTACTACTACTATTTGCCCCTTCCCACACCCCATCGGGTTCGTGCATCGACCTCGGAAATGTAGGTCGATTGTGGGCGCACGCAATCATCGCAACAATTTTAAAAAATGTCCGTCCCACTTGCAGGGAGTACTTTCACGGTCGCTAACCTCGAGATCGTTCTGCGCGAAGAGTTTAACGCACCAAACGTACACAAGAGAGTACTCCCTCCTTCAATCACACGGGGATCAAGAGAAAAACGCCAACCAGGAGAGGTGGAAGAAGAAATTTCAGAGAGAGACTGTAACTCTCTAAGAAGGCAACGAGACCACTCTTACCAGTTGGCACTAATCCCCCCGACATGTCTTTTATCCTCCTCCCCCTCCTCCCCCTCCTCCCCCTCCTCCCTCTCTCTCATCCATTTTTTTTCAAACAGTCATTACTTACACTTGTAGTTAACAAATCGCGGAGACTTATTCATTTTGAAGAATCACTAAAACTTCACTATTTTTAATTAATAATAAAAAGTTCTAGGGAATCCCCCAAAAAATAAAGTATACTTACATAGACTAGTGTAATTAAAGTGGCTGTATTAATATTGAAAATTAGAAATTCATTCCAAATGCCGAAATAGAAAAAATTACAATTTTTTATGCCATTTTTAGGAATTAATCAATAAATTCATTTTTTAATTAATGAATGACAGCCTGAATAATTAATTTAGCAAAATATAATAGAGTTATGAATTTTGTAAAGGTGTTCTCTGAAATTTTTACTATACAATTTTTATTCAGAATTATGTAATTTGATTTTTTTTAATAATTATTATTATCTGATTACTTTGTGATAAAAATTATCTCTCGGCGTAAAATCCGTAATGTAGCTGTAGAATGATAATTTACGGAATTATTTATTGAAAATAAATAAATGGTTAATTGTTAATTATTGGATTGAATGCCGTGTACTTGTGAGCCGAGAACTCATTACCGGAATGATCCTTTGTGGATTATGTATCGAGGGCACAGTTATCCATCGCACTAGCTCGTTATCTCGCGATGTCAATTAAAACAAAGAGAAGGGCTGCAATGAAAAAGAAACAGTGAACGATGAGATTACCTTTCTCACGATCCACAATCGAATGTTTCCGTTTTATCCTGCATACTCGACTGATTCGGATTACTGGGATATCCCTCAGAAAGTACCAACGTCCAATCGTTGCACTCGGCATTGCAGATCTCATTGCAGCGATGAGATAAAACTGTCATCATGAAAGTTGGCCTACTATCTCCCAGCTACTGGTATCACGATAATAGTAAGTCTTGGATATCTCCCAGCTTTCGTCAGTTTACCTTTCTCTATCTTTCTTTTTTTTTCCCCGTCCATGGCATTATTCACTGAGAAATAAATCGGTAATCAGTTCTGATGGCACATCTATTTGTTACTCCCCCTAAAATTGAGGGGAATGGTTTTTTTTTGCACTAAATTACAGAAATTGGTTGCACTAAATCAATTACTTCCTTTCAGTAATAAAATTTTTTATTTTCATGCACTCGTTTGGTCCACAGGTTTTCGAGGGATATCGCTAAATCTGAGCGATATATCGAAATTTTCATCAGAACGTCATTTGAAGAGTGGAATGACAGCTGCAAAAATTGTTTCGCAATAATTTCGCTATCTCTTTTGAGTTCTTGGATAATCCTCAAAAATTGGAAGATAAAGGAACTCGAATAAATTTGAATTGAAAAGAGATTGATTGGTTGATCAGATCGTCGGAATTTATTGCGCAAGGCTTTGATGAAAATGAGTTAATAGTGATTTTGAGGTGATTTAATTTTCCCTGAGAAATGCAATTGCGAAATTCCTCGAAAGGGATGAGTTGTACCACAATGCACCAGTCTCCAACGTTCACCTGCAAACAAGCAAATCCCTCCAACAACGACCGACCTTGACACGCTTCAGGCAAATGAAACAATTTTTATTATTTTCAACGATACCCACCAGCCGATAGATCACCTGAAACGTCATCATTCCCTGCTCACTGTCAATAAACAATGCCAATTCCATTCTGCTCTATCATTTGTTCAATATTCTCAGCAGCGCCTTCCTCACCCCCGCAGCATTGAAAAATAATAGTGCACTATAAAAATTGATGATACCAGCTGATTTTCCCTGTTCGGCGATCAATGACTCAGCTTCATGACGACTATTCAATATTCTATACCGACGGTGAATATAAAACAAAAGTACAGCTCCTTGGCAGTTCTCCAAACGTGATTAATGCTAATTCAAACTGTCAACTCCGGTTCTACTAACGAATCCTTAATTGTTATTAATAATTGTCTCCTCTCGATTGCGAATTTCAATTTTTTTTACCCCACTTTACGCACTTGCTGTCAGATTAATTACAAATCATGTCAATTATCATCTTGTTGATTTCAGTAATTATTTTTTCATTTTCAATCATGTTCCACATTAATTGACAATTCAGAAAATTTTTTAGTCTAGAAAAAATTAATAATCCCTGTTAATTAAATGATTATTAATTAATAATCACAAGAATTATCTTGATAAATGATAATTAATTAATTAATTATCCCGAGGAACTTTGATATTTACGAAAAAATCGAAGAAATCGAATTCTCCCAGACCCCCGGAAATTCCCTGACTTCCAAATTCCGAATACAAAATCAAAATCATATCATCTCTATCATCTTGCATTTATTTCTCAACAAATACCCAACAAATAAAAACAAATCGATAATTGAAAATACCGGTCGGGTAACAGTTAAGAATTCGTTTCGTGCGAAGAAAAAAGAGTTGGCACTTGTCAGTCTTCGGTGACGAGGAAAAAGTAAATGGTTCATTTTTTTTCTGGAGAGGTGAATTTGTCGGATGAAAAGGGAGGGGGGAGAGCCCTTGCAAATGTCATTGCGCGGGGTAATTAGAGCGGTTGGGGGGTGGTGATTTGGGGGGTAAAGCGGTGCGTGTGCGCAGAGGAATTGCTGCATGCGCCGCTGCAATGACATATAGTTCAGGTGTCAGCCGTTGATCAGCTGGGCGCCACAATCCTGTCAGACCTCTGCACAGTCCCTCCGCATGTTCGAAACCGGCTAGGTTTCCTACCCTCGTTGGATTACATCAATTACACATCATGGTAATTACCAATCAATTGTACTCATCTCCCAGTTCTTCAATCACAAGTATTTCTCTCCCCCCAGTGCACCGGGAATTCAAAAAACTCTCATTAAAAATCGAATGACAGCTAAAATTAATTTTCAACTTCATTCACTTCACTTTGTATTACAGCCAATAGATTTTTCACTTTGAACTCGTTAGTGCAATAATTGCTATTATTTCTGCGAATTGTCATCGCGTGTGAGGGTGGAGCGACTGAAAACGTGCGGATCGATTGGTCGATTGTTAGAATTGTGAGAATAATTTTTGTTAAGGAAAATGGGTGATCGATTTGGGGGTCATTTTGGAGATTGTGTTTTGGAGGATTTTTGGGGGTGAATTTGGAATGATTGAAATTTTTTCCATCGGTAGACTATTGCAGTAGTAAATGCCCGATGGTGGGCGCCACCATCCAGTGCGATTATTTATTGAGTGTCCAAGTGTGACGCATAAGGGTGGAAAAGGGTGAGATGAAATTGTCGTACGCAGGGAAAAAAGATTTTTTTAATCCTTAAAAATTCATTAATTCCTCTGAAATTCCTGCATTGTCACATAATTTTCGTTAATATTCCTGTATCAAAAATAGTAATAAAATAAATGAATTATTGAATTAGAAATAATAATAATAAATGCAATAATAAATTCAACAGAAATAAAAATAGTTGACAAATCCTTAATGCAATGAAAAATTGACATGAATATTATTAAGATGGAATATTAGTTCACTGGAATAAGGGGTGAGCAAGAAGACGCCCTGATGGAATGAATTCTTCTGCTCTAGGTACTAGCAGACACGATAACGGACCCAACCCCCCGGGAATCGTTGCTAAACGGCAACCCAGAGTCGATAACAATCTCCAACTTCTCGGACAACGAAACTGTGACCTACTCCCTAGTGCTACTGCGAGGCAAAGCGCCAGCATTATGCTCATACATAAACATCAGAAGTCGTAAAAATACAGTGGCAGAATGGCCAATCGTTGGTGGAGAATTTCGAATCCTGGTGGATCTCTCCCGAGGTGAGAACAAACTGGAGCTAGAAGCGGGTGGCCTAAAGCGTCGTATCACCCTTATCCACGAGCCCAGGACAACGCGATTACGAGTGACTCCTGTGTACGTCATTTGTTCAGGCCACGATGGTTACTTCCAGGGTCCTAAGACAGAAGACAGATCCCCGGAGAGTGCAGCAACCCGAATTGGGTTGGGAGCTAGACTCCTCCAGTGTCTGACAGCGGAGAAAATGAGGGAAGCAGGTCATGGACGAAAGACCTTTCAATTAGAAAGGGATCTGGATGGTCCTGAGTGTCTGGTGATGCACAGTATGCTGCACGTGGACAAAGCCAGAGCGATGAATCAGCGAGAACTCTGGGAGTTGATTGGACGAGAGCTGATGACAGGTCCACTGGCATCAAGGGACAGAAAGTACCTCTCCTTCCTGTCCTGCACGAGGTACAGGGGCTACTCCTCAGGATCACCTCGAATTCCCACCCATGAGTCAACATTGGCACGAACTCAGGGACACGCAGCCCTCGGTGGAGGTGGACTTGCCCTCTTTGGATCTGCTTGTCTCCACACGTGGCCCACGTGTCTTCCCCAGGTGTTGAAAAAATTCCTAGACACAACGATCGTCGATACTGATCAACTCATGGATGACAGCAACTACAGGGGCACTCATGGGGGATGTTTAGCCACTACTCTGGGATCTGTTCTCCATGAATTGGGCCACACATTTGATCTGGGACACACCAGGGAAGGCATTATGGGACGGGGATTTGATTATGTGGACAGGGTCTTTGTGGGTGGCACCGGTGTTGATTCCAATAAAAATTCTGTTAGGAGAGACCCTCAGCACACTACTGTAGCTATCAGTAGACCTCTCAGTGTCACGGTTACTGTTCAGGAACAGGTGGGTTTCATTTTTTTATCTACAATGGAGAAAAACGAGTTACAATCATCTAAATGTCTTATCCTGCAGGTGAGCTCCCCCAGGAGGGGTCGACTCCTGTCTGAGACCTCGAGACCTTCTCAGTCCAGTCCCCACCTGGGACAGGAGATTGGAAGACACAGTGGCAGACTATCAGCCCCTGCCAGCCCTGAGCTCAATCGATCTTTCTCAAGGAGTCTGGCGAATCATCAGACTCCTTTACCTGATAGAACCTTCTGGGGGGCCTCATGCTCAGCCATCCTGGCCTATCATCGGTGGTTCAATCCTTCAATCGACAATTCCTACAGCAGGGATATTCATGATAACCGGGAGATCAGCTATGACGCTAAAAGGTGAGTTCTCTAAAATTATTTATTTATAAAAGGTAAATCGACATTCAAACTATTCCTTAAATAGTCATAAATCAGTACGAAAAGAAAGGAATGTACTGTTCAAGCAATAAATATTTAATCTATAAATTACAAAAACGAATAAATAAAAAGCTAAACAAAATGATCAATAAATATTATAATAAACAATTAGTGGAATTAAAAATGTTTTTAAATATGTGGTGAGTGTCCATTTTGTCACTCATCAGTCTAAAATCGAGTTAGTCGACTTTATTCGAGATATCGATTTTTACAGTGTATTGAGGAAAAACGGAATTTTTAATTCTAGAAATGTGGTGAGATCTCGATTTGGTGTTCGTGTCATGGAGTTGCGAGAGTCATCCGGAGGAATGGTGGTGAATTCTCGACAATTTCCAGGGTGTCGCCCACCCCTTGAGGCCCTCGTCGCCCTCCCACCCTCCCAGTGTCTCTCTCCATTAACAGTATTCGCTGAGGACTCTGTTGGGAATGTCCTGAAGTACCCACTTCCAACTGCCTTCTGAAAATCAAAAGTACTCGATTTACACTCGAATTATTAATCCTTACGTTTTCAATTAATTTATGGAAGAGAGAGAGACAGAGAAAGAGAGCAGGCTTGGAACTTACGCTGTGCGTTATTTCCATATGATATTTTTAAAAAATTTTTAAACATTTTCTTTTGCTTCTGGCTTATGCTTGAAACTTATCGAGATTGTGTGTGGCTGAAGCGAATTCGAGGGACATAATTAATCAAAATTGATAGTTAAGGGAATTGTACTGACTGAAATGATGTACTCGATGGAGAAACGCTATTGATAAATTTTTCAGAACCTGAATATTCCAATGCACTAATTAACAAAATGATTTAATGACTGAGAGAAATCAATTCAATGGTATAATGCAATAAGTCGAATTATCGTTCTGTTAGATATCACTTAGTCTGAAAACGATGGATTCTAGAGAGAAATGTCAAAAGATCTTTTTCGTCGAGAATTTAATCAGCTACATAAAAGTCCTCTAACATTTCTATCTCACGTCGATAGTTCTTGCAACAAATCTATAATTGAGACAAATGAATTTCCGGTTTATCAAGTGTTGGGAAATGGAATTGATAACTGAGTTAACTCCGAAGGGGATCTAAAATTAATGAGAATAATGACGAGGCCTATTAATTTCCCAGTACAAACACATCTAGAAGAACTGATCGATTAAAATGACATTCAGATCGATACGACCAAAAGGAAACAACTTCCGAAGGCTAATTGATCCAGTGAGACGTGATATGACTTCTGCTAGTCCATAAAATTGTACATTACTGATCACATGTACAGTATTATTTCATAAAATTATTTTAATAACATACCACCAGAATAGCGATAGATGTATGAATGACAATACAGTATTGTAATAATGAACTATTATTAATCAAATGGCATGTTTGGTTGTAATTCCAATGACTAGTGCTGTATTTTCCAGACATTTGGTGCTGTTAAAAAAATTCACTGCATTTCCAAAAAGTCGCTCCGGATATCAGCAATTTTTTTTAACAGCGCTACCGATTTAGGTAATCCCTGAGTTGCTATCATCAAGTGATCTCAAACGATACAATGTTTATATATCATTATATAAATAAATACCAACATCATACTAGTTCATTCTGTACCTTCCATTGTTATTTGGATTTTTTTTTTAAACATCTAGTGACAGCTAAGACACTTGAAGTCCCTATTATAATGTCTGCACCGAGTCTTCACATCAGAGGAGTTAAAATTCACAGACATTTACTCAAGTATATGTTTCCACAAGTTATTAATGGAGAGATTGACACTAATAAATTCCTCAACGCCTCACGAAACTTCATACAGATAATCGGTAATTGATCAGTGCTCTGATTTTCTCGAAAAATTCGCATCTGATAAAAATATGTACCATATTTTAATGAATCATTCAATAATTTCTAGATAAATTTGGAAAGGTCTTTATACCGTTGAAGTATGATATGCAGAATAATATCGAGGTGAAGAGAATTTTCTTCTGGAAAAATAGATTAATCAGGAAAAATCGTACAACTCGTATTTTCTATTTTAGAAACTCTCCCAGAGGTACAACGCGAATAAATCCAGTCATGCAAGTCTGCAGAGTTTGATTCTGAGTGAAAATAATACAGAGAAAAATTCAGTTACTGCTGAGGCTTTACTCTGGCTCACGCGGTAATTATTTTATGACGATTTCAGTATAATTGAAGGGTTGATTGTGGGGATTTCTGCAGGGAATTAAGAATGATTCAGGTACTGTTTGATAAGATCGTTACAGCTGAGAGGAACAATAACTACACGGAGGATCTCACATCGAAGATTAATGAGTCGTATGATGAGGTCATGTTTGGCCACAGTGAGTGGATGGCGCAACAGTTATTTTCAGTATTTATCACTTCAATCAGTCTGAACAAATATTTAACAAATCGATTAATTTCCTAGTTAATTCTCCGAGAAATATCTCAGAATGCAAAAGACGTGGAAAAAATCAGAGATATTCCTCGAAAATTGAGCTATTAACTAAATCGATTCGTTACTCTTTACCTCTTCACTACTGATTTATTTATTTAATCACAACTCATTCAGCTGTTGGCAAAATCCATCCCCACATGTTCGCAAATTCTATTGTCTTTGGGAGAAAACACCCCGGACGCTAAGGTGACGACTATTAACACTCTGGACATAATTTCCAAGCAGATGCAATCAAATCTCATAATTTTGAATAAATTCTTGTATGTTAATGACATAGGGCAGGTTTTTTAGAATTCTGAAATTGACAGGTAGAATAAATAAATATTGTGTTGATTTTATTACCTCACGTCGTCAGTACTTGTTGTCAATTCCACAAAGCTGAGCCATGTAAAACCTCTTGGAGTGATGCTCAGCGATATTCTTCAGGGCTATTGTTCCACTGATTATTTCAGCAATCACTAGGAGAATCATCAGGCCGGTGGCTGTTCTCTCGATGAGGAATAGTTGCATATTGTCGTCCCAGAACATGAACATCATCAAAGGAAATTGGAGGAGAGTGGAGAGTAGCCAGAAACTAGCTAATTCAGGGATCTAAAAAGTTTAAATTTTATTAAAACTTAAATAGAGGATTGATTTTTTCAAAGTATTAACACTTTAATAAGTGAAAAAATAATAAATTCAATAATCGAGTGTCTGCTTTGAATTCTAAAAAATTATAAAGGCCCGTTCATCCCACTCTTCTTTCCTGAAGGAATGGGGCACTTCAATTACCTTTTCAACTAAATTTCCGAGGTACCCGAACCACAGCCTGAGGCACTCAAGTACTGAAATAGTGATGTATAATGTCACAGTGATAAATTTGTAGATACTGCTAAGATAATAATACTGAAACAAAAATTGTGGGAAGAAATTAGTTAAACGATGGGAAAGTTGAATAGAAATGAACTTCTAGTCCATTTCGGCTCAGAATAAATTCACTTGGATCCAAATACTGAAATCAGTCATACCTTCGCGTCTATTCCTAAAAAAATAACGAAAAACCAGATTGGAAACAGCCAGAGATTGAAGTACAAAGCCATTTGCAAGGGTAGACTAGACTTGATGATGTTCCCTGTTGTGTAATTAAGAAAGATAATTAATTAGTTATTCACAAAATATTAATAACACCCATTTCATTTTCATGTTATTCACTATTTTGTTTTTTGGTAATGTTTTAAAGTGATAAATACCGGCATCGTAAAACTGTTTCTCGCGATCATGATAGATCAGCCCTGGGAAGATGCGATCGGAGGCGGTGATCACTTTCGCCTTCCACATCTCTGTTATTAATTGTTAATTGTTCAAAAGTCATGGAGTGTCATTTGGTTTCTCTTCATCTTCAAAAGACACTTTTGAGAATCGAGGACTATAAACAAACGCTCCATTTGGTATTGGCAGGTGTTCCAGGTGTTTCAAGAATTTTCGGGGTTTTCACTGACAGCGACATGAGCTGGAGAAAAATGGCGCGAGATTTGAAATGAAGAGTATGGTTTTGAAATTTTCTGAATCCTAATTTCCATGTTTATTTAAATCTATTTTTCTCTATAAATTACAGCAATTTAACATAAGGGTTGTTAGAACTTAGGATAAACGTCAAGGTAATACAATTTCAGTGAAAGATATTCACAATCATTCGTCCTCCGAGTACAATCATGACATGCTCGTACCACAAACTGGTGATTACGAGAAAAAAAGTCTCATCCACCAAACTACTGAGGTCCGCACTTACTATCATTAAGGGAAGAAAAAACAGTTAAATCATAGAAACATTTGTGATGAATGTAAGAAAAAAGATAAATCCACTTGCTCCTTCAATAATCTATAAAATTCCAACCGCACTGCAGTTATCAACAGCTGTCCAATGTTGAATACGCACTAAGTACAATATAATTAATTCAGTCTTTCATAAAACTAAGCAATCTTTCATTTTGTCACTCATCATGCCTTCTGTTGAAAAATATATATGATTTCAATATTCGTTGGTTTATGAATTCTTCGAGGAGTTGAGCTGTCATTTGAAACAGGAAGAAATTTCAATTCCTCATTAGAATAACTCTCCAAATGATTTTACTCCATTATTCATGAACTATTATAAAGCCCTCGGGAATTCCCATGAAAAGAACAACTAAAATCACAGAATCTGTTGTCCCTACTTCTCTAATCGACGGATTCGAGGAAGAACATCGTAAAGACTATCGAGATGACTCATCAACGACTAGGATAACTAAATCTGCATTAAAGTGGCCCATAACCCGTCAAACACGTATGAATAATTTCCTTTAAACAAAATCTGTGTCCCCAGAAAATTCGATTGAACTTTACATGGATTTAATTAAAAAAGAATAAAAGAAATCAATCAAATTCTACGAGGTAGTTTTTTCTCCCAAATTTTTCCGTACGTGCATCTTTTTTTATTAGTCCCCACGAATGTGCAAAATTAAATATGTAAGAAATACCGAACGCAGATATTCCAAAACCATCTCAAATCATTGATCCATACAAATCCTCTTTCACTCCTGCCTTCTTCAATAATTTAATCTACCCCCAAGGAATCACATATTTAATCACAGCACATTCCCCAAATCCCCAGGACAATCCAATAGTTCTGTCACATCAGCCCAATATCCTCACATAAACTATCACTCTCATAATACTTTCATAATAAAATCCTCAAGTCTATACAGAAGTTATGTACAACATAAATAAAGCTGACTGGACAACGAACCCACTAGTAGATTCTACTGTAACTGCATTATATACACAAAATAAATCGTGTTCATTCAAATTCCCTTGGATTCTCATTTTCATAATCATTCATAATAATTCTCCGAAATAGTGAAACGTAATAATAAAAAAAATCAAAGTATCTCCACAGAATTTCGTCTATTTCTCCACAAATTATCCTAAATAATTTCTCAGAATCCTGAGATATATCGACTCACGTTTCACCACTTCAAGCCACAATGACAAAGCTCGAGAGAATAATTATTAAAATCGAGAGGTGTCCCCTAGGCGAGTTCGCGTTTGCTTTTGTTCTCCGCGTAGAACTGAGTGGTCGAGGTCTTTCCAGGGCTCGTGGATGTCCCCTGGAACTGTCTGGTGAGAATGAAGACAACGGCCTCGTAGGTTGCCATCATTATTGCTGTGTTCGGTATCTGGCGGACTAACTGGGTGGTGAGACCCCTGTAAAGGCCCCTGGGACCCTCCTCCATGTAGACGACATTCAGGGTCTGCCAGAAGGTTCTGTATTTGGTGCCCTCTTCCCTCAGTCTCGTTCTTGCCACTTCTGCAATTATAAAAAAATATTCAGCATAATTTATTTTATATTTATTTATTCACAATTTAAATTCCATATCTGTCTATTGACATTACATTTGCAGTTGTAAATTCCAACTCCCATCAACTCAATTATCTCGTGAATTAATTTTATCAATTGACGGTTATATAACAAAATAAATAAGGGCTGAATGCTCTGATTAAGTTTACAGCTGTTGAAAAATGTAAGGGAATTATTTTTCCTGCCATTGTATTGACACTTCACTAAAAATGATAACCGAGATATCTCTGGGATTAATTCGATCGCTCGCTGCCATGGAGACGTCCAGGCAGGTCGTCTTCATCGATAAAAAATGTCAATTCAATGTGGAAGTCTTGCATGTAATTACTCAGAAGGGGGGAGGATTTTGGTTGTTGGAATTTAGTGGCAGCTATATCTATATAAAGATTCTATGTTTAGTACGACTGACTCAATTTTATTGGCTCTCCAAAGCGGTGCGGGTTCGCCAGTCTCAATAAAGCCAAAGGAACACAACCCGGCGAATAAAAAAATTTATTGAATAACATTATGAGGAACAACAACGAAAATCACGCAGTTATCACCATTACAATTAACAATAAACGTCTCAAGAAATTAATTAAACTTTTTCATTAGCCATTACTCAAGTTCTCGTTATAATTTTTCGAGGAATATCTCTGAATCGAAGAGAGATATCCAATTTTCGTATGAATCTTTATTGTAGCTTTCTTTTCGCTCTGCAAAAGAGGTCGTGATAAGAATTTCGCTATCTCCCACAGATTCAGAGATATTTACCAAAAACGTGATTCAAAAATCAATCGACTCTTTTCGAAATTGACTAAATTAGTTGACATTTTAATGTTTTCAGCAGTTCATTAACTATTCTTTATCTTTCGAAAGATAAGAACCGCAATCAGTCCATTAGTTACTGCAGGAGTGATAATAAATTATAATAAATGGAATGAAATATATTTAATAACGTGAGGACTCACCATGTGGATAGGCAATGCAAGATGCAACTGTTTTGGACATGGCCCCCGCTGCCATAAATTCGATAAAATCACGTCCCATTTTTGATCCATCGTTGTCTGTTGGCACTCGGGATCTGTGCGTTATCAACCAGGCTTTAACCGCTTCATAAATAACGAAATGAACTACTGTCTCACTTATGCCAACGTACGAGGCCACGATGCCTTTGTAAAATCCAAGAAAACCCTGAAAAAAATTTTCCACACTTTTCATGTTCTACTTGCATTCGGCAGAATTATTTATCGAGAGCTGCTGGTAGTTGATGATTATTCAGACGGAATTCAACATCGAGTGATCCATTAAATTTCGTAATCATCCAATTTAATATTCAGTTTCCATTTTTAGATGATAATATCGTTTTAAATTCATCTCCGAAATTCCTCATTCTTAATTATCCTCTTATCTCGAAAACTAATGATGTACGGTAAAAACACAGAGGAACATTTTTGTAGTCTGTTAAATTTGCTGAAAACCCGATCTCTTGATACTTAATCCTAAAATCGATAATTTTCAAGATAATCGAGTATTTTTACGTCCAAATTCGTGATTTTAATTTCACATTATCACTTAGCTACTGAAACGTAGTAAACACCGTTTACGTTACTCTTTATTCTCCATCAATTAATCAATTACCCGATAATGACTCCCGATAAAATATCCCCACGAATCTAGATCGAGCTCACACAGATCCTGATATTAATAACAGAGAAAAAGAGAAGAACCGTTGAAATGTCAGGAGAATTAACGAGTGGAAAGTTTTCATCGTTCGATCATACGCAGTTATTTAGCATGTACATAAGCAATCGCCTGGTATTTGCGATGGAACGGATAGGAATGACAGGCGAGTGCAATGACAGAGAACGACCTCAAAGTGTTTAGAAAACAGTTTTTCGTAAATTCGATCATAAATACTAGAAATATTCCCAAATGTTTGGGTACCGCACATTTCTGGGAGATAAAAAAAAAAATCCTTCAAAGTCAATAAATAAAATTATGAAAAGACATTTGACATTTTTCATATTCCGTAGAGCTTCCACTTTTTTTTACAAGTATTTTCAAACGGTTTTGGGGTTGTTAATAATTTTTTTCGTCATGCAATTCAATTTTTGAAATCCACACGCGAGAGATAAGATAACTCGTGGTATAACGAGTGCCCCCCTCCTTCCCCCCACAGCAATCGATACGTTATCAGATTATCACCAGTTGAAAGGGAAGATATCATTTTTGAGACGAAAGATTTGGAAGTAAATGTTGAAATATCGTCAATTGACCTATCCTTAATAAAAAAATCGTTGTCGCTCTGAGTCAGCGATCTGGAGATCTGAAGATCGCTTTAGTATATAAGTTATATAATATACATTGTCGATTGAAGATATTTCAATTTACTTGTTTGTTTACATCCTTGGGTCTTGGAAGAATTCTTTTGTCAGCTAATTGAATTGAGAAGTCTTTTCAATGTTATTGTCCTCTGCGGCTTGAATGGGATACAGCCAATAATGATATATCTACGATGTTTGTGTTCTGATTGCGTTCTCTGAGCCAACAATTTTCTATTTACGACTGACAGGCATATTTTATAGACGTACAACAATGTAAATGTCAAGTATGGGCCAAGTTTGTGGAATAATATAATGTACATTAACCGAGACAAATAAAATAAAATATATCCCAGTTATTGCCTTATTTATCTTTCATTACAATTAACAAATTGAAGATTGCAACATAATTAATTCGTGAAAAATCCCAGCTATCCGGAAAATTAGATAAATGTATCTGAATTAATCGAAAATCTTCAGAAATTCATGTTTTGATATTTCGGTTTTGATTACAAATACAATAAATTATATTGTGACTAACATAATGGATTCTCACCGATTGCTGATATATCCTCTTGATACAATCGATTGCCCTCGTGTGTTTTGCGTGGTGATCCAGCTGCAGTCTCGTCTTGACAAACCAAATAGGATTAGTCGCTGTGGATGCAACAAACCCTGAAACAATCGTCGTCCCTCGATTGAATAACCTGAACTGAACATAAATGCAGGTGAACAGAAATGAATCGTAGAATAAAAATAATAAACAGCAAAAAAATTGTTGATTTTTCCATGAGGAAAAAGAACGAGTGAATAAAAAAAGCGATTGACTGTTTTTCGTCATCTTTTTTCGTAAAAATAAAGGAATTATTTATAAAAATTAAGTTGCATCGCGTTTACGTTTGTTATTATGAAGTGATACAATTTTCAAATATTTGATTGCCACGTGATAATCTGCACGGGACTGGGCACAACCGGAACTAATTAGAATATCAAGTGATTACTGAGGAATCAAACTGATAAGAGAACTGCATCGGTGGGATCACCCGGGGATCGTCCGTCAATCCCCAGCTCTGAAAAACAAATTCAATCGCACGTGAACAATTCCGCAAATAGCATGACAAGATATCGTAGGAATGTGTTATCAATTGCATATTGTCTCCCGGTAAAATCTCCATCATGATGTAATAGCGCACGTAGCACAACTGCAGTAATGTTTTGCATTCCATTTTTATTGCCGTCATTGAGAGGAAAATGGTAAATATCGGATATGTAATTTATGATTATTCATGATGAATGATGTAGCGCGGTTTTACGTTCATTTAATTTGACTATTTAAACTTGCTAAAGATATTTTTAAATCAATGGATAGAACACAACTGAGAAATTCCATTCATGTCAAGAATTTCATTGAAAAGAAATTCTGTACGTATCAAGAGATTAATAGAAAAACGCTTACGCTTTCTCCAAGAAATTCTATTGAATTTCTATTTGAAATCTGTCAGCATTTTATTGCACTTTTATTATTATACCGTTCAAATTTTCTTTCCCCTAATACCATAAAAATTAGGGAACACCATCCCACATGAATGTGAATTTTGCGATATAAATAATTAAAACCGATTGTCATTCAAATAAAAAAACAAATTGCGCAGCAGAAAACGAGCGGTAGATTCTCAAATGAACGACCAAGAAAGTGGTCATCGGGAAATAAAAATAAGATTCACCACTAGATAAACCAGAAACTGCAAATTAATTGAAATAAAATTCCCCCGGTTGCGAGGAGGAGGGAAAAATGTGATTATGCCTGTGGCAGTCTTCTCCATTCAAACAACATCACGTGACGAGCATTGAAAGCCACGTTTTCACTCGAAACCCATGGCCGCTCTGGCAAAAGCTATAAATAGCAAAAAAAAAGACCTCATGCAGACAGAGAATGTCGGACACAGCCACATGGGGACGTGTTATCAAGTAAAATAACAATGTTGAGAGAGGAAGTACCAATAATCGAGCAACTAATGAGAGTCAATGAGTTTCGATTCGAGAACTAATCCATTCATTATCTCGTTCCCTATTTTTATGAAATTCTATTTACAATTCGAGGGGATTTTTTCGGGCAACTCGGAGAGATTATTCATTTGCGCAGTGCAATTGTCTTGTTTACTGTGACGCAACCTGGGATAAATATAGAATTTTAACAAACGAGATCTATTGCAGATTTTCAATTACGGAAATTATTTTTTGAAATCAATTTCCATTCAATATCTATTTGTAGAAACTATTCATTTCAACGTCAAAGGATTTTTTTATTTTTTTTTAAATTTGACGAATAAAGAAGTCCTCTAATGTTTCCTCCTCAGGTCGATAAATAGATAATTAAGGATGGAAATCATTAACAATAATTCACGCGTTCCCTTCAGATCGTTTATTTAAATAATGAACGATAATTTATACTGAAGTAACTGCCAATTCACCGAAGCAAATTGAGTGCAAATAAAAGACCAATGATCACTTATTGATATGAATCACCAGATTGCACAAGAGGTAATGCAAATTGCAGCTTTACAATGATGATATTGGCTCCCCAGCAGAGTTGGAGCTAACCCCATTGGTCTAAGTTCAATTCGTCATTCTGTGGATAGTCGACGCATTTGTCTCAGAGATAAAATAATTCTCGACTAACTGCCAGTTACGTGGGTCGTGAACCGAAGCGATAATAAAATACGTCACGATAATCGTACGAGTATTTCTGTAATTTTTTCGTTCAGGCCGATTGTCTGATAACGAACTAATCACCCAGCCAAGAAATTACAACAATAAAAACAATTAGAACATTTAGAAATAACAAATTTACACAGAAATTGTTAAATTACCTCATCATCAAGGCATTCTGACTCTTCCGTATATCTTCGCTACAATTCTAATATAATTCTATTTTTAATCGAACGTTTTCATACGCGAAAAAATTTTAGCAAACAGATAATAAATACCGAACACTCGAAGGTGTTGATTTCTCCATTTAATTGTAAATAATTATGACTATCGAGTGGTCTTTGTATTCAAACGACTCGAGTTCACTACTGACTTGTCTGAATATTCATCATCCATAATATATTTATCCAGTGAGCTTGAATGAGACAGGGGTGTAATTTATGGATTAAACACTCACCGGCACATGTAGCGGAGCACACGTGGACCATTGGACTGTCTGGAGGTAGTAATGAGTTGAAGAAACCCTTGCTCTTGGAATATGTGCAGAAATATATAGCCCTTGAGGGTGCCACCCCCACGAGATTGGGACCTAGACCCTTGAAAAGTGCTCTGAGACCCTCGTACTTAATTATGTACCTCAGACACTCGATTAATCCTGGACTCACTTGTCCAGTGTTGGGTGGAGGTGGAGCACCACAATGCGAAAGTGCTACGAAGGCATACCTGATAATTAAACAATTTACTCCATTTTACTCCAATTTTTTACGATTATTTTCACTGTTAAACGGCTTTAATAAATTTTTAAATATTTATCCCTTTGAATGGAGATCAAATTTAAGGTTATCCCTGGCGAAGTTAAAAAGATGTGACAACAGATTTTTTATTGTATATATATATATATATATATATATATATATAATTATGTAATAAAATCCAGGAGGTAGATCTGAGATATGTGAGATATTTCAATTTTTCTTTCAGAAGGAAAGGAGAAATATTTTTCTTATCAATATCAACAGAACTGGTGTGATTGTTTACCTTGTGGATCCCCCAGTGCACAATTTCCTTCTCTGTTGTTTCGGTGGGAACCCGTTACACGTGAATTGTCCTGACGTGAATTCTCCATTATTTGGGGGTGGATAGAAGCCAGACGTCGAGGATTGCAGTCGTGTTTTGACAACTTCGAGGGGACAGGTCACAATTGCGCCCATAGTCCCTGCCACCCTATTAATAAACATGGATCAAAACATTGGGTGGATAGCCAACTTAAAACTACTTTGAATTCCACGATAAACGGACTAAACCCAGTGGAAAAAAATAATCCACACTTGCAAGAGAGAAAGTTCTTCACCAAAACAATTTTTCAAACGATCCCTCAACCCTTCAATAATTGCTTAATTGCATAACTGGATAATTAACGGTTGAGTCCATTAGATGTTCACCTCGCCCCAAAGTTCCGAGCCGATCTCCTAATTATTTAATTAATTGCGTCATCCCACTCCAGTGATTTTCCCCAGGCTTTCACTATTCGATAATTTTCGTCTGATTAATCTCGAGAAATATGAGAAAAGATGAATTTAATCACGAAGTGGTGAAGTGAGATAAATAGAGTTTGCAATTTTTTTAATTGTCGATTTATCTCGAAAAGTATCGATGTGAAGCGGAGACTTTAATAGACTTTTTTTGTAGCTGATTAAATTTATGATCAAACCGGTTTTTAACATTTTCTCCTGAAACCAATAGCGTGTGGGATCAATTGCGAATTGATTCAGTAGGGAAGTGGTAAAGTGAGAAAAGTTGAAGTTTTCATTTTTAAATCATCGATTTATTTCGAAAACTATCGATTTATTGGGGAACTACTACAGGACTTTTTTGTCCCCAATTAAATATCCGACAAAAACGATCTTTTGAAATTTTCGCCTAAAACCAATTGTTCTTCGATCAATCTGTAATAAGTTCAGCACCAACGTGGCAAAGTAGTATACCTCGAATTTATCGTTTTCAAAGCTCATCGATTTATCTCGAAAACTATCGATTTCCACCAAAAACTCTAAAGAACTTTTATCTACCAAAATACATTTCCGACAAAATAGCTCCTGAAAATCTCCTCGAAAAATCAATACTTTCCGAAATAAATCAAAAACTCGACTTAACTGACTTGAGCCCTTCGGTATTGACCTCCAAGTGACTGCGCACTTAGCCCATCTCCACAGCTGTGTACCAATTTTCAACCCCAGAAAATTATTGCCCCAGGTCACGACACCACTACAAATCCCCAATGACGTGTGGATAAACACCGAAGGGAAACAGTGATTTTTTTCCACCTAGAGGGAACCGGTTTGGATGTTAGAAAAATATTTATCAAAACCCACCCGCCGGCAACAAGATGTATGACGGTATCCCTCTGAGACATTTTCCACAGCTTATTTTCCCTGGATCTGCCACCACAATTCACAATGTCGTTGCACAATATGTATTGATTAATTGGAGAAGCTCCGGTGAATTATTCAATAGGAGAACAAGTCCAAAAAGCAGAACCCGGCGAACGGCAAGACGATCATAAAAACGACCGTTTCCCCTGTCCCCCGGCTCTGCCCCAATCCTCACTTCAACAACTGCGTATTATGGATTAATCAGGTGTTATCACAATCCACACACACTTCCTCAATCTGAATAATGATGAGTTGTTGATTATTCGGTTAATTAATTTTCGATCTGCGTAAGTCCTGTACAACTGCGTTATTTACAAGCAAACGTGCTGCACTGAATTCGCTATGAAACTGCCTCTGCATGGGGAGAGACTTGTGCTGATTTGCTGCTGAATTATTGCGCTGTGCCATTCGCGGTGTAAACAAATACTACGGGAATCAAGCGAGACACTCGTTAAAAAATGGTTAGTCCGGACACGGGATCATGTGACTTTTTTGCGGGAAAATTTGAAGATTTTGGGCATCTCACTCCAGAGAAAATACAAGCACTTCTCTTTTTCGTTCTCATTTTCTTTTTTGCTTATTATTTTTGGATTTTTTGGGGTTAATTCAGGTGTGTAGGTCGAAATTATTTGAAATTGAAAACTTGAATAACGAAATTCATTCAAATTGTTCGAAATTTAATTCGATTATGTTATTAATGGTAATATTATTAAAAATTACATATTATTTAAAAAGAAAATTGAATTAAGCGAAAATATTATTAATATTTGAAGGCAAATTGTTATCATGTGAGATAGGGAATCGGTATATTGAATTGGTGGGTAGATAGCACCACGTGAACCTCTCGTCATTGAGATGACTCACATGAATGAATGTATGAAGAAACAATAAGATGTAAAAGAAATTTAAAAGAACGTAGAAAAATAGCGCCGAGGAAAACAACAATAAAAGGGCACAATTCCTTCACAATTCCAGTATCTCCCAAAAATAAAAAAAAGCGAACAATTCCGGTAACAATAAAAAAAATTCTGCAAAACAAATAATTTAATTTTTTTTTATTTATTTGATTCTAAATTAAATTTCATCGATTCAAGTCAATGCACTAATTACGTACTTTCAGTACATAATGATAAATAATACATGAAGACAATATATATAGATATAGATTTGGTATATCGAATAATTTTCTGCGCACGTTCAAAAAAATATTCGAATTTAAATTTTTGCGCGATATTTTCCAAGAATTTCAAATCTCCGACCCACATAAAAAAAATATATTCAAAAATATATGTTAATTATATCAGTCAGATATATCTGACCGGTTCCATCGAAGATATATTCAAAAAATAATTGAAATATATTTAGGATACACTTGTCGTAAATGAGACTATATCTCAGTTATAATTTTTGGATTCCATCTGGGAACAGATGCGGATGAGAAAAACCTCTGGAGCAATCGAAATCCATAGATTTCCATTTCCGTCGAAAATCCCGGCGATCTCGTGGGAGTAGGATCCACAAACCTCACTCTACCGATGCTGGAAGCCCTTCCCTTCATTCCCCATTCCAATCTTCTCTCCTACCATTAACTACAAGTGGAGGACTTGTACCTCTACCCAACATCACCTTCTCCAACTGTCAGAAAACACTGGTGGAACAGTCGTGAACGAGCGCCTGCCAGCGCTGCAGCGAAAAAAAAAAGGTACATGACGTAAAGTGCCAGTTTGTTTTCACTTTTCATTATCTCCGGAGTGATTATTCCCGTGACAAAGCCGCGGTGTCGACAAGTTCAAAGTACATCCAAGAGGAGAAGAGAAGTCAGAAGAGAAGTAGGAGTCCCAGGTAATCCTTAACCGCGACAAAATCATCACCTCGCGGATCACCAATTAAATTCATTTTTCACATAGAATTTCACTCGTATGGACAGTGAAATTCCTTTCCACTTCAATTCCGTTCTCCTTTTTTCCTGTTCAGATAGAATAAAATAACCAGCGATGAGAGGAGCGGCGCACATTGTCAGTGACGTTTAGTTACGTAATTTGAATGAGAGGTACATCGTGGGAGTAATCGTCCTCGTCCGCGAAATAGGCCTTTGGCCTCTGCTCACCGATTTTTCCCTCCTGGGTAAAGAAAAAAAAAAATCGAGGTATCGGTGAATTACGGCTCGTCAAAATCACCGCGCCTCCTAATTCATTCAAAATGGCCACGTCCTTGACGAGGTCACGTGGCTCTTCGTTGCACTGACAAGGAAGGCCTCAATTCCGCACTGTTTGTCCTACCCTGTTCTACCGGTTCTACTTGACACCAGAAAACCAGAACTCTCCTCTTCGTTCTAATCTATCCGTTTTTCGTTATTCTTTTATCAAAATACCAGTTTATCCCCGTCCTTTCGTGAAGAGAAAAAAATTTTAACATCAGAAGAACATTTTATGGTACGAGTGAAAAAAACTCACTTTTTCCTCCCGTCGCGCATTTATGACAATCGTCTGGAGAAAATGCAGAAAAAATTATATATATGTATCATATGTATCAATTATTAAAAAATAGTTTTAAGTGGAAAATTTAAATGGGGAAAGTACTTGATCATTTATTAGCGGCAATAATTGGGATGAGAAGGGAAAGTATTGACAATTATCTACTTGTTTCTCGGTGCAATTGGGTAATGAGTCGGTACATTAGTGGATCCATTTGGTTTTGGAGACGACAATGACGGATAACACATCATCGTCGAGGTTTGCGCTCGAGGTCGTTGGCAACCGGTTGCCGACTAAGGAAATTGGAAAGTTCACCGGACCCTTTACGTATGCACCATGTACTGAGGTTTTTCGGTTCTCCTTGTCGCGGATTAAACAGGACACTCGGGATACCAAGGCTCATTCAATGTCTCTGAGTCATGGATTGACGAGAAAAAAATCCCTGGGAAATTATGTCCATGACATGAATAACGCACGCCACGGAATTCATTCAAATGGGACTTTATGTAATTTTGTAATTATGATTTTGACATGTCCAAGTGGATCAGGTCGGGGATTATTATTAATCCATTAATCCCACCTGACGTACAGACGATTTCAGCAGCGAAGTGTAAAGCGAGATCCAACTTTTCCTTTTTTCCCAAATATCGATTTATCTCGAAAGTTATCGATTTAAAAGTAAAACATTACTGGACTCTTTTTGTAGCCCATTAAATTCCCGATGAAAAAGATCTCTGGTGATTTGTTCTGAAATCAGTAATTTTGCTAGATCGATCGATGGAAATCGATTAGTAGAAATAATTGAAATGGAAAATTTCTCGTTATTGTCGATTGATGGGAAAAACTATCGATTCCCGGCGGTAATATTAGAAGATAATTTTGTACCCGATGAATTTCCCAACGAGAAATATTCTTATTATTCCTGTTGAAAGTAATAAATTTTTAATTAATCGATATTTAATAGATTGTTAAATGTGAGTTATCTGACTTGATGATTTTCGCTACTGATTTCAACGGTTGAGTCTCGAGTTTAATTGTTCGTGTACTTCATAATTCATCGTCGATCGTGAGTAAGTAGAAAAGGCATGCGATGAGACTCCTAAACATTCACTCAGATCCTCTCGAATTGAAAGCCTTAATTACAATCCTCACAAATTAAACGGTTAGATTAGATCGATCGAGATCCAGATAGTACGTGAAACTATATTCAAAAACTATCCACAACAGAAAAAAATCTGAACTATGAATAATAGGCCAATTACTTCATAATTATTCATTATTAATTTATCCCAATTGAGTAATTAAACAAATTAAAAAAATTGAGCTGCACCTAAAGAAAATACAGTCGTAACTGAATTTAAACGGTTTTTAATTTTCTGGAGAATGACTGGAGTCAATAAAAAAAATAATCATTCGTAATTTTCTCGGGATCGAATATTGAAACGATAGGAAAATTAATAAAACAGGAAAATTACAGCAATTTTCAAATCACCAACGGTTGATTGATGAATTACACCTGTAATTTCCAATTGATTGAACTCATCTTTAGTTCTCTACCGGCAGAATCGTAATTCAATTATATTTTTATTCTGTAAGAAATCGTAATTCAATCGGAATTTTTTGTTATGAGATGTCAAGGGGAAGTGGAAAAGGTCAGGTAGAATGTACCTCTCATCCTCACCAGATATAAGCCAGAGAGGAAATAATTTCAATTGCAAATTAATTGCTGTTTCATGTTTTCACTCGGTTTCTATTTTTCACCATTCGATTCCAAGTGAATTCCCCTCGACTTTCGAATAATCATTTGGCACATCAGCATGCAGCACGAGCCCTAGAGTCTCCAAGGACAGAGGGACCAATAGTTCTGCGGATTAAAAAAAAATTATTGATAACACACGTAATTGTTATTATCAAATTATCTCCTGCGGGTTTTGGCGGTAATTGTTGAACTTTAATCAGTGTAATCTAGACCATATCTAACAGTCAACAGACAGAAGACATTTTACAGAATTCTACAAGAGATTTACAATTTAATTTATTAAATTGAAAAATTTTACGAGAGGCTGAGATAATCTCCATTTTCTTTCCTGACCCTTTTCATTTATCAGATGTATTTTTAAAAATATCCAAGTATTACAAAAATTCATGAAAATCAATTCAAGAAATATGATTATAAATTTAGAAACATAATAAAATAATAAATAAAATTTGAGAGGATTTTGATAATTTGATAATTTGATAATTTTTATAATTATTTACTCTCAGTTTTTGGGGAGTTTGGCGATTTTTATGATTATTTAATTTTTGTCTCGCTGTACCGAGCAATTGCTTATGTATGACCTCTCTGACGTGGTCTGACGTCATGAGCTAGTCGTCGGTTCTCATTGAATTTTTTACTCCTCGTTTTGGGTTTCGTTCCCATTCACCGAATTATGCTAAAACCTTGTGACAAATTCTTGATGCCTAAAAGAGTCGTTTACGTGGGATTAATACATTATTGTTGGAGCTGATGACTGGACAAGGCCGACGAATTGTCGCACTGGCGTCTCTTTGGCCATCGATACTGTATCGGAATATCGTGTGGGTGGTGGACACCACAGCAGTCAGGATGGCCTTCGATTCCCATTCGAAGAGATCAATGATTTTCTCATTTTTATTTTTAAGATCAATTTATCGGAAATTCTGGAGCTAATTATTTATTTTATCTATTGGGTATTATTGATTTAATATGTCGATTGTAATCTATCATTTTCAAATCATTATTTCAGATTTTTTTTATTGTAAATTACGAGATTAAGAGATTATTTATGGGATTGTTCATAAAAATGGATGACACTAAAAAATTCTCCAGTTTCTTCACTTTGTTTTTTTTTCAGTTTTCTTTACGAATTTCTGCAAAACGGTCGAAAAATTTGGCAAATATTTATAAAAAAAGAGACACACACCTATAAAAATTTGAAAATCATTGAATAATGATGAAAAAAGGTATATTTTCCACGTCAATCAGATTTCCACTCAGAATTTCCGAAAAATTCCCAGAAAAATTGCAAAACTAGATATTGGCAACAGCTCTGTAACAAAAAAAGTAATAAAAAAAATGAAAAACAATAGGAAAAGGATCAGGTGTATTGACACCCGGGTCACGGCCGAGACGGATGGATGGAGCCAAGTGCTGGTAATAGTTGAATGGCATTTAGCAGGGGCTAGTATGGAGGTGATTTCGACTCGGAGATACGAGGCGCGCCCGGCCGTCAGTACAATTCACTCTGGACTTCTGGTTAGTAAAAATTCCCAGCAAACCCTCCGGATAATTTATGCATAAACAATTTCCCATTGCGTCATCCCTGTCATTACCCGGGTGAGAGAGATAGATGTGCATTATGCTTCAGTACGATCCGAATAGCAAAGTGGCGACAGTCAAGGAGGAGGAATGGGAGACGAGAAAGAAGAAGGAGATTACCACCACGAGGCAGATAGAGACCAGAGTCAAGAGGCAGGTTGTTCTGGAGGATGGAGAGGTCGTCAAGGACTCGGGACCACTCGTCACCACCAACACCACTGAGGATGTCGAACAGCAAGAGCACACCACCCAGGAGGTCAATTTATTTTCTATTCCTCATTCACATTCCATCTCAATAAATAATATAGCAATTAATAATAATGTAAGGTATCTCTATCGTCATTTATCATTTATTAAAATAAATATATTATGAATTTGTTAGTCATAATTATTATTATTAAGTTCTAAAGGTATTCGAATTTTAAAAATTAATTGTCAAATGATAAATGATTTTTCAAAATTTTCTAATCTCTAAAAATAATCAAATTCATTGAATCGTCAATGAAAAATTTTACAGAACCTGGAGTGTCATTTTTTCGGTGGTAAATATTTCAAGTTTTTTTATTTCAAATTTCTTGGGTAAATTGCGGTCTGAGAGGGTAAATTTCCAGTTTGAAAAATAACGATTAAAATAGTAAATATTCGTTGAAAAAATTGAGCTGAAGGGACAATTGAATTACAGAGAAAAACAAATGGGGATGAGCCGAATGAGGTCGAGTGGACGAGTCCGAGTGCTGGTCCAGTTGTCCAGAAGGAATTGAACGAGACTATAGTGAGAAGTCGTGAAGAGACTGAAGAACTACTGGAGACCGAGGATCGACGCCAATTTGGCGATATAACGGATGAGGTAATATATCATTCCCATGCCTTTTATGTCCGCACGGGTTTTACAGCTTCGCCAATTACGTGAGGAAAAGCTATTGAAGCTGAGAATCCGCGAGAATAATTCCCAACAATGAGAAAAATCAACGCCATTCAGCTCTTCAATTTCCCACCTTCATTAAATAATCTCCAGATATTTCAGATTGCGCGTGTGTGATCATCGAATTAAAATCTCGTTTCGTTTAATGGGAGAAAGGGCTGGAATCGGTGGAAGGATGTGAAGAAATGGAAAGAGCACGAATTTTCGTGATTATCATCTTTGGAATTTTCGGCTGACGTTTCCGGCACAGTAATCTCACTTTCTGAAAAATAAACGAGATTTAATTGGTCACCTGTTAGGACAGGGGAACTCTGCTGAAAAAATTTGACGTTTCATTAAAAATTCTAACTTCGAGCGTAAAATCTCGAACTGACGATTCAAAAAAAATCGAGAATGAATTGGTACTGAATATTTACGATTTCATTAGAATTTCAAATGAGTCCGTGAATTTTCAGTGAATCATGGAATCCCCGATCTTGCTGTCACTCCTAAAAATAACGAGTCAATAATCAATACCGAACATATCCGTCTCATGAAAGAATTCTCCGAATTCGCTGGTGTTATCTGGTACCTCGTACTTCCGGTAATAATTGATCGAGGAGAATCCAGAGGTGTTTACCGATCGTATCACAATTTCTTGACAGGAAGTGACAGCCCCTGCTGACGTGAGGCCCAAAAATGCGGACCGGTAATTAACAACCCCTCCTAATTGTCAGAGGACAATTGACCGTCAGTTATATATTTTTGATATATATTCCAAAATATCCCGACTAAATATAAATCTATAAATATAAATCAATATAATGAAAAAAGTGAATAAATCATTTTGTTGAAAATAAAATATAAAGAATGAGAAATAAATAGAAAACAAGGTAAACAAATAAACAAATAAATAAAGTAAAGACAATTTTAAGATAAATGATTTTAATTATGATAATTGTAAATTATTATTGTCAATAAATTGTTTTGCATGAGTGGGGATGATGTACATGAGGTACATGAGCAGCCGTTACGCATGGTAAATTGTGGCTGAGGGCGGCTGCTGAGGTGGTGAAGCCACGACCGAGTGAGAGTAACGAAGAAGGCAGGAATAAACTCGGAATACCTATTGCGAAATATGTGCTTACACCGGGGGGCACAGGTACATTGAGCGTTTTGTCTGCTAGACTGTACATTCTCTAGGATGAATAAAACGTTCAATGGCCGGAGAGCAGGTTTAGGTATGACGGAATGAAACTCGTCGAGAGAGAGTCGAGGATGGGTAGATTCGAGTGGTGATTCCGACTGCGATCACTCCGATGTAACATATTGTGATAATCCTCCAGTGCTTAAACTAGTTACCGCTGTGGTTTACGATTATGAGACTGTTAATTCATTTATTAATTGAGAAACTGTCATTTACTTCGGGTTTACTCCCCTGAAATTTCTGGTGAGACTTTTGCCGATTTTTGCACTGGATTTTCGATTTTTTTAAATAAAACATTTTAAATTGTAAGTCAAATAAATCCGGTTTACGATATTTATTCATTTGGGATTTAACTCGGAAATTATCAGTTGCAGGTGAAAACATTAAACAATTTTATTAGTTAATTAAATTTTCTATAAAAAAGTATTTTTCACTTTTTCTCCAAAAATCGATCGTTCTGGGGATTAATCGATAAATATTCCAAAAATAATATTTGGCTCATCCGATTTTCTAACTTTGATCATTGATTAAAGGATTGCGTTAAATTGATGGAGTTGATTATAACGGTAATTTTATGAAAATAGCGGATACGGCGCGATCCGTGCGTAAACTCCCACCTAGGGTGTTATCATTTGATATATAAAATCGAAATATTCAAAGAATCTTTAGAAATATTAAATATATTTAGAAATATCTAAAAAAATTACCCATAATTTCTGTTTTTTTCTTCAATTAAATTCAATTGATAAATCCATTATTTTCTTTTATGAAAATGAACGAAAAGAATTTGAGGAAAATTGAATCGCCAAAAATCAATTAGTTGTGCGCCGAAAAAAGCTGGCAAGAAACGGTACATTTTTTTAAAAGGGATCGGTGAAGAGGCGAAGGCGCCTAGGACCTCCGCAAAACGTGAATTTCCGGTTTTTGCTAATTGATTTTAATCGTCGGTTTGTCCCCAGGCGTATCAACAAGCAGTGAGGAATAATCGGGGTGACCTGAGACAAGCACTCGCCGAGTCCTCGAGGCAAGTGGCAGTGAGCACTGGTCCCCGGATTGTCCAGCACAAGACCAAGTCGAACAAAGTCATTGACACGGAGAAAATACTGGAGCGGAAGGAATTCAAGGCGGATGGGGCAATCGTGACGGAAACGAAAAAGAGTGTCGAGCACGAAGAGGTAATTACCAGGGAGGGGGTAATGAATCTGGGGTCAAGTGGTTCAAGTGTTTCCGCAATTGGAAAGTGTCATATCGGTTACTGGACTGCAGATCGGGGACGACGAGGTACCGGAGGGTGAGGAAAAACAGACAGGTGAGACGAGGAAGGAGAGCTCACAGAGATTTATCAAGCAGAGGGAGGAAGACGTCGTGGATTACGTCGCTGGTGGTGAGAGGATTGCCAGGGAGATGAGATTCGTCGCTGAAAAGACCGAGGGGGAGAGAACTGGTGATTGGCCACCATCACCCGATAGGATGAGAACTGTCAGATTACCTAAACCAGGTATTCCTATTATTCCTCCAATTACAAAAAAGCACTCGAAATTCGCTTTACTCATTATTTACTCAGATGTTGCTCACAACTGGCAATTCTCTATTCTCTAACTCTCCATAGCTCTTGTAAATAACAATTAATGATTTAACAATTGATTGCCCCTGGCTCCCCAGGTGAGACAACGCCAATGGATCGTAAGGATGCCCTGACGAAAAAGCCTCTGGACCCTGAAGAGGAGGATGAGGCCCGCAAATTTGAGACCTCCAAGTGGCTGGAGAATCACTTCGGGAGTGAATCAAGATCCTCTCAGGGCTCCATAGAGCCTGATGGCCCTCCCATTCAAACAGCCACTAACACGAGTTTCATAAATGTTACCATGAAGTCTTGTACTCCGCGTGATCGTGAGTACAAGAGTAATTCGAGTCAAGTGAGAACCTCGAGCAGAGCCAATGGCAGAGAATCTACATCGCCCTCCGGCTACTTTCACGGCATCACCGAGTGGTCCGAGAGGTATCAGGGATCAGGTGATGCTCCATACTCTGACAAAAATTCATTCCTGCCCCTAAATTTTTAAATATGCAATTGAAAATAATTCGATAATTCCACAAGTACATGAATATTTAGGAAAAATAATTTTTTCATTCGCTCTGCTTTTTCCACGCACGCGAGACTAATAAAAAACGTTTTATTGTGTTCAAGTCATTCCAGGGGAATAAATACTGATTGCGAGCTCGGGAATTTTCAAAATGATTTAAAACTTTCTTTTATTTTCCCAGGGGAAAAACCGAGTCATAACTCGAACGTTTCTACTGCCTCGCCGAAGCATTATATGAGCGAGGGCACGATGAGTGTTAACAGACCTGAGACGGTTACGTATACAAGAAATTATGAGACTTCCACCAGGAGACATCATGAGACTCGTGGACGATCTAGTCCACCGTCACCACCAACTCGTAGAAGAACGCGTGAGCGAGTCAGTGAAAAGGTGAGAAATGGAAAGAATTAATTGGAAGATTGGAAGATTAATCATTAGGGGATCTAAGATTGATTATCATTGTGGGATTGCTAATTTTTTCGTTAACGGTTCTGATTATTATGTACAATGATATTATATTGAACTTTTAACTCACATAAATTTTTTCCTCAGGTGTCACATCGTGAGGAAAATTACCAGAACTCACGTGGTGGCTCTTCCCCAAGCCCAGTGAACGTAATAACCAGGACCTGGCAGAATCGCACTCAGGATTGGTCGGAACCTGGAGACCGTGGGTCCCCCCGTCGCCACCCCACACCCCCAAAATCTCGTTCGCAATCGCCAGTGGTAAAAATAGCCTCATACCGCGATAAAAAAGAGAACATAAGGCCAGTGAGTAGATCAGAGTCCCCTCGAGGCTCAAAATCAAGAATAGGCGAGTCCTTCAGAAAACTTGTGGGAAAATTGCGCTCGGTCTCGTCAGAACGTAAAAACAAGAAAAACAGTGACTCAAAGTCCCAGTTAACCCAGACAGACGACAGTTCCACTTACCTCCAGTACAACGTCATCGACAGGAACATCCCAGAGGTAGGGATCGACCAGGTGGACAGAGGTGATGATAAGCCCCCGGAGAGGCCCCCCAGATCCCCCAGGGTCAGCCCGACAACGATAAAAGTCACGAGATCGAATAACGATCACAAATACTACGTCACAGACGAGTCGTACGCCCCTCGAAGCTACGAGGCCCTCCAGGACTCTCATCATCACTCTTCCAGGGTCTCCAGACACCACGAGAAGCTCCAGAAGTCCTCGAGGATCTCTGATGACTCCAGGGAAGAGCAGGTATCGTCCAGCACTCTGGGACGACTCAGCAAATCCACAAGCAGACTGACCAATGATCAGGACGAAGAGTACCACCGAGGGATCCAGACATTGCCTCGCAAACTCCAGTCCTCCAGCCCCCTGGGGAAGACTTCTGTGACCAGGAGATCCTCTAAGCAGGTGTCAGTGGGACCTAGGGCTGGTCAGGCTCGCAATTATGGGAGTATGATCAATATATCTATCAAGAATGTCAAATCTTCCCAGGGCTCGACCCACAGAAGCTTCAGTCCTACTCAGGGCAGTCCAGGGTATCCTATTCCTCCTGTTAAACCTGAGAGGACTTACAAGTCCTCTTTACTCCGGAGCAAGAGCTTCAATGTCGAGGCCACCAATGGCAATGGCTATCCTGAGAGGACTGGATACAAGTCCAATTCTCAGCTCAACAGTTTAGATGAAACACAACCTTTGAAGAGCCCTGGCATCCTCGCCAGCATCAGTCGGAGCAACAGGGATTTGTTCAAGCATGAGTATTATTGAGGGATCCACGAGCAAATTCGGAGAGGTATCATTTTTACCATATTTTTTAAAATTTCATTTCAATTCTAATGAATTATAATACGAGGAATTTTTATTTTTAAATGTGTCCTTTTTTTGTGGAATTCTTCGAGGCTCGATTGAATTATTTATATAGCTCTATGTAAGCACGAAATTTAATTGCAGAGGTGAAGTCACATTTTGGGTCGAGATGTATCCAGAATTTATAGAAAGTTTGGGTGAGGATTGAGGTTGAATAAATTTACAATAAATTAATTCCAATTCCATCGAACGATTCAACTGACATCCACAATCTCCACACTTGTCATTGATTCTCTCGTAAGAAAATTTAAGAAAAACAATGGAAATATGTCAATTGTCATAAATTTCTCGAATTCTCCACGCAGAATCGATGAGAAGTAATAAAACTCAAAGATAATTTCGTATCTCATAAATATTTGATGTGCTTCAGGAGTGGTAGAAATGTTTTTCATTTCTCCTATAAAAATTTTCCCCTAATTTATTCAATTATCTTCTGCAAACAAAAAAAATCTGAGATTAATTTCCTAAACCCTCTCTCAAATTATAAATAGTTAATAGTTAATAGTTAATCCACTCAGATAAATTAACATTAATAGTAATAATAATCTGCGTTAACATCAGTCTGATCACTGGATTATTGTTGAAAAATCATGAATTCAGTGAATTCAAAAAATGATAAATGCATGTATTACAGATAATTGATTATACCGAATTGTAAAGAAAATGGAAGACATGAATTAACGTATTGTTGATTTTGAATTTATTTCGTTGGAAAATTTACAGTGATCGATGCACTTGTGAAAATTTTCAGTGTCTCTTCCGCCTGTTTGACTTTTGCGAGTAAGCGGATGGGACGGGTCGCGTCAATATTCGCAATTTTCGATAGCTCAGCACGAGAATAACAGCATTCACTACGTACGTGCTGACACATACGACACACACTGAGTTTAATATGTAAAGTACCCAGGCGAGGTACACCGAGGAGAGACAGCTGCCTATGGATAGACTCAGGAGGACAACCGTGTAGCTGAACTTATTAAAAACACCTGGAGAAAACAATTTGTTTAATTCACTGAGGAATATCTCCGATTTTAAGAGAGATAGCGAAATTTTCTTCAGGACCTCTTCCGTAGGATTGAATGAGAGTAACAAAAAATGTTTCTATAAAAATTTCGCTATCTCTTTTACGTCCGGAGATATTCCTCAAAAACTCGAATAGCGAACAAGACAAATTCGTGCCTCAATTCAGCGTTTAAATTGAGAAAAAAAACTCCTGACTTACTTATTATTGCGATAATTGCATAAAATCCTAGTCCGTAGAGACAGTTAGGCAAGTAGAAAATAGATGATTCTGGAATTAGACCGAACCCCTTTCCATATCTGAAACAACAAAAAATATTACATGGTAAGTACAGTTCTCTTTTAATTAATCAATTACTGAGTTGGAGAAAATATGAGAGAATGGACAGAGATTATTCTGTAAATTGGATTTCACGTTTCTATTTTTAACTCGATAATTTTCATTTCGTCATTCGAGAAAGATAAAAAGTCCTAATCTTTCTATAAAGATACGTTTCTCTGTTCATAATTTGTTGTTTCCAACTCGAATTTGATTCAAGTAAAAAACAAAATTCAACGGCTTTTTAAAAAACTGCTATTTTAATTTAAAAAATTGTTCTAGCTCAATTATTCGTAAAAATTCCTCCTCCTCTCCTTCATCCAGAATTTCTCTAGAATGGCCCAGATAGCTCCAAAAAATTAATGAAAAAATCACTCACTCAGACATGAAGGCCTTGGTGCAGCTGACATGCTCACTGATATCGCACATGGCCTCGTAGTTCTCATCCTGTTCCTTAGCTGTTTCCACGATGTACGAATAATACGACAACGCGAGTCCCACAACACAGGACGTCACCAGTCCAGTATTCAATTTATGCAATTTACTGCTAATCCCAGACATCCTGGCGCAAAAAATTTTAAAAAATACCTGAAAAGTGTAAAACCAAACCCTAACGTTCGACCCCAGGGAAAAAATCTCACAGACAATTCCCCCTAAATCGCCTCGTTGTTGACATAAACCTCTACAATCTTCAACTAATTATGTTTTATCCTTCGCCAATTAAATTAAATAATAATCAACTCCACGTTGTGCTTCATCAGCCGCCTTATGGTGACTGTAACATTCGTCTCTCGTATCGAGCAATCGAGCCTCGCGGTCATATCACGCGCACTTTGACCGCGCACATCTTTATTTTTTATTGTTATTTGCAATGAGATAACGCTGTTAGTCAGATTGCTGATAAAGGGTTGATTACTCCAGCTAAACTAATCAATACGTCCCTAAAAATCGTACACACCTGCGTCAAGACGTAAATCAAGTCAAGATGAATAATAAATTACACAAATAGAATTTTTAATAATAATATTCACTCTCAGTTTATTTTCTACTTTCTTGTGACGAGGATTCAGTCAGGGGAATACCGGAATTATCTTCATCACATCTTCATTTATTTTAGAGTGAAATAAGCGATTGAAAAGAAGTTTTTACGAAAATTTCATTTCGGGGATATTTTAGAAAAAATTGTACAGGGGTTGAGTTATTTTTTGTAATTTTGCCACGGATTTTTGGTCGAGATGGGGAAATTTGGAGAGTGGGATATCAAGTATTTTTGAAAAGTGATAATGAGAGAAGTAATTTTGGTTTCGTAATTTAGATTCAGAAGCTCGCTAATTAAACAAGCCCCTAAATTCCATCCACACGAGCTCGTGATGACCCCAGCCCCAGGGAGTCGATCAATAATCAAGACCCTGCATTGAGATTTTCCGAGATACAAGAAAATTTATTTTTACGTATTTGTACAGAGTTTCAACTGATAATGAGATTAATTTTTATCTGTGAGACGAAGGTGGAATAAGCCAGCATTCTCGAAAAATTCTTCTTCGAAAAATTCAAAACATTATCTAAAGATTCTCGAGAATTTCTGTTGGAGCTGTTTAAAAATTCTGTTGGGCTTCCATTAGAATTCATTTGAGAATTTTATTATTTTTTCCTCTGGTCCAATTGACTATTTGACAAAATCAAAAAGTTTGAGTTTTTATATATGAATATGTATGAATGAAACTCCCACAGAATCCCATTAAAAATTCCAAAAACTCGCACCAAAAATTCATCAGAATTTCACAATAAAGTGTTAGATTTTTCTATTACATTTTTTCAAGCATGCAGCTTCTCACAACTCTGAATACTTACGAAATTAAGAAAAATGCATTTATCTCATTCTCTAGACACGTCTCGAATTGAAATGATTATAAAAGAAACGAAAATATGAATAACCGTGAAATCAAAATATGATGGATCATTCGTTTTTATACATATGGTAGAATAATAGCTAGTGATTACTCATCTTATATCTAGAATCGGAAAGGTCGAAGGATCATACAATGATAGAATTGTCTTCTGGAGTTTGGGGTATCATATGGACGTTGGAATTTAGAGATTAAGAGAAAGATGTTGGAGGGAGTTATTCTTGCGGTGCCATTGCTCTGGCCTGTGCTCGCACCCTCTTCTCATACTCCAAACGATTTTGACTGAAAGAATTTTATTTACAAAGGTTGATTCATCTTGTATAATTTTGGATTAAACCTCAGGGCATTACTCACCAGTAGATGGTGTAGGCCTCTGCCTGGGCAGGATCCTTGACGTTGGGTTCGTTTAGAAGATCCTGAATACCCAGAAGAATCTGTTTAATCGTAATTGCTGGCCTCCAATCCTTCTCCTCGTCGAGGAGGGACAGACATACTGTTCCCGATGGGTAGACATTCGGGTGGAAGAGTGGTGGCTCGAATTTGCATTTGGGAGGACTGGAGGGGTAGTCATCCTTGAAGATCATTCGAAGTTTGTAGAGACCACCCTCCCATGGAGTCTACAATTCAAGGATTCAACGAAATTCATTTGCAACAGAAAATACAAAATAAAACCCTAACCCACCGATTTTTTCCCAGGAATGGCGCACTCCCAGCTCATGAGGTTCAAAGTGCCATCCGGATTTTTGGTGGGACGCGCCACAAAGCCCTGTAACAACATCCACATATTAGTTTTAAAAAAGTGAGGTTAGACTATCCCTGTCACCAACAATCATCTTCTCCACAGTAAAAAATCCTCCACAATCCCCAAAATCACTTAACAACCCTCAATTGTCCATTGAAATATTGAATAAATATCGCAGTAACAGATTTTCCCGCGTAAATGTATACACATCACTTCATCAGAAAAAAATACTTACGAATGGGTGATCCTTTCTCCATGCCTTCCTCTCCTCAGCCAATCTAGCACTTGCTATGCCAGACATTTTAATCTGCACAGAAACAAGTAATGTTATTAATCAGAGCGAAATGAAGGCTCTTAAGATAATCATTAATAATTTTTATGGTTAGATTGTTATTTAAATTTATACGGACACGATAATTCACACCTTTTGCTAAAGAACCTCCGAAAATCTGGCGCGTCTCACGCGTTTTAGCAGATTCCAAATGAACTCTAACCCTTAAATTGTTGAGGTGTTTTTTATTGTTAAAAAACGGAGAAGCTGCGAATAGGTAGGTGATACTGTAATGTAGTCGCAGGAATTCGGGGAGGAAATGGAGGTGATGGGGTTCGGAAAACTATGAGAATTGACCTGTTTACATACTTTTTATTTTGTTGATTGATACAGATATTTCACGTGGATCAATCCTTCAAGATTTCCCAGTATTAAAACGCGTTGAATTCAATTGAAAACCGGCGGAGTCACTGATTAATTGAGGCTTTCACTGGCTTCTCAAATTTTCACACCGGGCAGATGCTTCTCGGTCGATAATATCGGATGTCCTGGGGGTAATGCAGATTTTTGAGGGATTTTTAAAATCGATTTTGTTGTTGATTTGTATTTCAGTATTCATTTCAAAGTATTCATTTAAGACATATTTTACCGCCAGATATTTTGACGCAAATGTTTATTTAATAATTTGAAGTGCAAATTTCAAATTTTCAAAATTTAACATTTAATTCTTGAAAAATGAAAATTTTATAAACGAAAAATTTATGTCAAAGCTTTATCTTTGAAACCATAAGACAGAAAAATGAATGATGAATAAATTGTTAAATTAAAAATCAAGCGTCTCTAAAAGTTTAAACAATTTGTTATTGGCTGTTATTTTGAATATGATAATAAAAAATCTTCAAATCCATGAAGGGGTGTTCCGGTGAGACGCAGGAAAGAATAACGATTTTTCCACTGGGAAAACGGACAATCGATTAGTTTTCCCCTACGTCCCCCTCGTCCTCAAACACATGTTCTACACAATAAAAAAATTTATTTATAACCGACAATTATTGCTTCCTCTTTCAGTCTACGTGTTTAACAATAAATGCAAAGAATTACAGTAAAATAAAAATATATTAATATTAATAACGCGAATTGAATTTAAAAAATCGACTGAATACAAAAAAAATCAATTTTATTCCCTTCCTTTATTTATCTAACTCTAAATATCGTAGATAATTATAAATAAATATCAATCATTATTTAAATTAAAAACAATGAAAAAAAAAAGATGCAGTTCTGACTAAAAACGCAGATTCCTAATTTGCCGGATGTTTCTTATCACCGGGAAATTCAATATTCTCGTAAAGATCGGGTTCCATCGAAATTTTGGAGTTTATTCTCGATCGCTAAATATTCGATAAAAAAATATCGCCAATTCGATTAAAAAAAAAAAACAAAAAATCGGTATTAGTATCGAAAAGAGGCGAATTGACTTAAACTTCGAGTTCCACCGATTTATTGGATCTGATAACAGATGATACACCTCCTTAGATTTTCCTAGTTTCCACTAGTCAGTCTGTGGTCTAAGGGTACAATTAACAGTTTGTTATGATACTCAATACAAGACCCGGTATTCGAGACTACATGCTGACTTTCATTTTTTCTCAATCGTTATTTTTCCGAGAACCGCCGAATAACAAATTTTTTTATCATCCAACTATTCCCCCTTAACACACCGATTCGTGCATGAATATTCAATAATGACACACTCCGATTCACCTAGTGCTGACTTATCGGAGATTAATCGACGAAAAAAGTGCGTTCGATAACAGCGATAAGATCGAGTATTCCCGTCCACGTCTTCGATCCACAAAGCGACTCGAATCACCCTGACAGCCTTCAAAAAAATCCCAAATGATCCATTATATCTAATTAATTATCATTCCGTCAAATGCTCTCCACGAATTATCGTAATTCGCCGTAATAAATTTGGAAAAACTCTCGGGAATAAAAAAAAATTCCAACAAATCCCCAAACGGATGTTTAAAAAAATCCCCTAACCCCGGGGCATTTCCCATTAATTATCATTACCCCGTCGGCAACTCGGGGTAAACCCTAAAACCCGGAGACTTCATAATTTCCCTGAAAAGTTAAAAAAAGCCCCTCAAGATGAAAGATAGGCAATAAATTGTCAAAGTTATAATACGTTAACGTACGCGTGCGCGATGTGACCCCATGCCATCCGCCCGTAAAAGCGTGGAGGGGTGGGTGGGTGTATGGGGAGAGGGATGAGAAACAAAATGGCGTTGTACAGTGGGGGTTGAAAGCAGTGGCGATCGATAAGGGCGCGAGGCCTGAGCGGTTTGTCGCGACAGGCCCTAAAAAACCTCTCTGTATCATTTATTTCCCCATTAAGTGCATTTCAGTCGTGCATTGAAGCTCGCGAGTGTAACTCCACCGACAACATCCCCTGAAAATAAATTCCAATTGACAATTACGGGTGGCTAATCATTAGGATTTATTATCACTCGACGATGGCCTCTGATCGATCAGTGAATGGTGAATTAACCCGAGTTTTTGGGCTAGTTGATAATTGCTATTGCTTTCTCATGTTGCAGTAGTGGTAAGGGGATGATAATGATGGGGAGATGAAAGGCAGACTTCTCCAGAGGGTTCAGGCCATTTATTGTGCGAATTGTGCGCGCCCCGTGGATTTTTAGGGGTCGGTTTTTTTTTGGGACGTCGTAACCGTCGGCTGTCTGTTCGGTTTTCGGGTTACTGGAGATGGTGAGGAATTAGATATGTCTGATACTTCTTGGGGATCATCACTGTGCGCAAGGGGCGTACACAGGACCCGGAAGCGCACCGGAAACACTATGATCATCTCCGTCGTCGTGATCTTCACCCTGGGATCTTTCTGCCGGAGTGTCGCCGGTGAAGCTGGAAAGCAATGTAAGATTTTACTATTCGATACTCACTGCAATTCTCTCTTCCACTTGTCTGTCATTTTCCAAGTGAAATATGCCATTCTGGAAAATTTAACAGATTTTTTTTACAGCGGAAGAATTTTTCAGAAAATTTGGAATCGAAATTTTTTCTCATTTTCGAAATGAGACGAAAAGATTTTTTCATCAGTTATTTCGGATCAGATATTTAATGGCCATTTTGGATACTAGTTTCATTGTTTAATTGCAGCAATTAACTTTGGGCCAATTGTTATGAAAATTTGTTTATAACTTTTTGGTTGTCCACCGAGAATTCCGTTTTTGAATTTATCCTAGTCAGGAGTTTTCACTTTATTTAATAATTTTTGGAGTAATTGAAACAATTCTGACATAAATAAATGAAAAACCGTAATTTATCTATAAATTACTGAAAATTAACTCGTAAATTTCCAGGGCCAGTGTAATTTCGTAGCGAAGTGGTAAACTGAGAAAAGTGTAATTCAATATTTCTGTTAATTATGGATTTACCTAGAAAACTATTGATTTTACCTGGAAACATTAAAGGACTGCTCTAGTTGTAAAAAAAATTCCAACAATAAAGGTCTCTCGGCATGTCCTTAATCAATAAGTTTTTTAATGAATTGATATTCGCGCTCTTTTTTGATTTAGTGGCGGCTTAAAATTTAAATCAAAAATTTCTCCCTGTGCGTGGCATGTCTCCGTACTGTTTCTCCCGGGTTCAATTAACTGTTTAGGGGGATTTTGCCATGTGAACGGTGCGGGTGCATTGTCTACATATGTATTTCGACGTATGTGCCTATTTTTGCAACGCCGGGGATAACGTTGACGCGATTTACTGCGCTCGGTCACGAACTTCCGGGGTTATTCACTAATTTGAAAAAATTGATTGTCTGTTTTTGAAATTTTTACCAAAATTACTTTTCCAAGAAATACTTAACGCTTCTGGGTTAAACAAATCATTTTTCTCTTGGAAAAAATGTCAATTGGCGCAAAAAGATAAATCAACGGAAATCGGCTTTTACTCTTTCGATTAATCGATTTGTCTCGACAACTTTTAATTTCATAAAACGTTAAAAGATTTATTTACAACTAATGGAATTCTAAACTCAAAGTATTTTCTGATATTCTCATCCAGAATAAATTTTTTTTTTTTAATGAATCGACATTTTAAATCTTTCAAAAATTGAACTTGTTCTCGCGTCTCGCTGAGTTTTTCAGAGATAACTCCGAAACTAGAGGAGAGAATGAAAAACTCATAGAACCTTTTTTATAGAACTCATTCATATCTATAAAAAAGTTATTACACAAATCTCGTTATCTCTTCTAGTTCCAGAGATATTTTCGAAATAACAACCAACTTTATACTTGACCCTAATAAATTCGATTTTCAATAAATCGAGGAAAAATTGATTTCCCCACGATTATAACAACAATTATTATACACAAAAATCAACTATACCAATATATAATAAATTAATATGTATTTACTTAATGATATGTATATATGTACCATATACACTATATATTAAAATAATGACATTCATATACTTATTTCAAGTATAAAATACGTACTTGACTCAAGTACTTTGGTTGTTTTGAAAGTATGTACATGATGTTAGTAAATTTTTAAAATGGTTAATGGTAAGTTGGCGTCTCGGTTGAGGTGCGTGCGCTACGGAGTGGCATCTCCGCACCAGAGCATCGCAGGTTCAAAACCACCTCTCGGAATCGGGTACCCTTACGTTTTTCTTCGTTGAGTATCGATCGAACCCCACAGTACAGCTCCATGCTTGTGTTTCAATCACATGCAGAGGCGTTCCCAATCTGTGGAGATAAAACTTTCGGCTTGTGCTTAGCTATGTTCTGCGGTCTCAATCAGTGACTGTAGAACACGCAGCCCTGCCACATTTTTTTTTAATTAATCCAATGGCTCAACCCAGCCCAAACGAATTTTGAATTTCCATTGAGGAGTTGTTAGTCGGGTTTTCTGTTTTTCTGGTAAATTGGTCATTGGATTGAATCGGATGAATATATTTTTTTTGCTTTTTTAGCGTTATTCCATGGATTTTTTAATTGGTTGGAAAAAAAATTGTTTAATAATTATAAAAGCGGAAATCCGATTCGTCAAACAGTGTTTACAGAACCGGTAATTTGTCGCTCTAATCCACATTTTATTGGCTTTTTTTTTGTCAATTTGTAGATAAATAAATTGATGAATTTTTTTTTTTTTCAATGACTCACAAATTTCGCCAGTCGTGCGTTTTTTAAATTTTTGCATTCTTTGTTCTCATTTTTTTTTTAAATAATAGAACTTCACAATGATATATTTTTTGATATATCTTTACATCGGTCTTATCAATATTTCCTCAGAAATTTAAGAAATAACTTAAAAAACGAGAAGATATCGGCAATAACTCCTTCAATATCGCAGCAAAATGGAAGGATTGGAATCTTCTCCTGACCTATTTAATATTTTATATATCCTGTCATTTATTATCGACCCCGCGAGTTCTTTCGTTTAAAAAATCTATGAATAAATTACATCCAATATAAAAATAATCGTAACCATTATTATTGAACGAGCAGAATGAAAACTGAAGGAGAAAATTCATCGAAAGTGCAGAAAGAATACTAGATATAATCACGCAAATCGTGTGAGTGATTTTTCCCAGTATTTTAGTTCACCACGATCACTCCTAGATAACAAAAGATTATGTTCTGCATAAATAAAAAAAATAGCAGCGATAATTCCAGTACAGCACTGAAAATGGAGGCCAGGTAAAATTCTAGTAGTGGTACTGTAATTCGGACTAGAATTTTTCTCATAAATTTCTCTTCAGGATTACAGTCTTTAATTTGACAATTTCTCATTCAGCCCCTGATGAAAATTTTTTGTCTCCACGTTTAATAAAAAAAAAGGCATAATCCGGCATTTGACCCCAATTCCAATGTCTCTGATTAAGTACAAAAATCCATGTGAATAAATTGGGGAAAGAGGAATGACCTTGTTTTTCTCGTTGCAGATAAAATGGGCATAATTTGCAAAAATCACTTTCTACGGGATTTGTACAGAAAAATTGATGGGGCAGTGCTGTTATCGCAGAATGAGAGAAATCTCAATTGTGCCACGACATTTCAGACGCACAGCATTTTGCAGCGATTTATGCTGAGGTTCGATCGATTACAACTTGATTGCAATGATCATCTTTATATTTACGATGGGGCCCACGCTGTCAGCAATTACAAGGTAAAAAAATAATTCAATATAATTAAAACAACATTCTTAAGAAATTTCATTAACATTAAACTATTCCCGAAAATTTTGTCAAAAAATTCAAACCTATTGAATTTTTCTTATTGAATATTTCACAAATCATTTCCTAAATAATGTAGAAATAATAATGACGCTGATAATGGACAAATATTTTCATGAACAAATGATTTTCAAAGGATTGATAAAAAAAGTAATGAAAGTGTTTTAATGAAAGTTTAATAGAATTTTTTGCATCACCCGTTATTGTCAAAAACAGACAGAAAAAGTCCCCCAATATTAACCCGAATTCGCTCGTAAAAAAAGAGGAAAGAAATTAAATTTTTGAATTTTTTTATGTTCATGGACCCCTGGAATTTATATTAAACCTCATATTGTTATTGCCCCCGGGGCAAAATATTATTCCTCCAGGCAATTATTTTCTACTTCATACTCCACAAGGGACGAGTGCAAAACGTAAAAACCCCAGAGAGTATGAGTCGGATAAATAATCCAACTCCATAAATTCCTCGTAAATATTAAACTAAATAAATATCTAGAACAACGCGCAGTGAAAATGGCATAGAAAATTTTTTATAATTTCAATAGTTAAAAATTCCGTGAAGAATTTGATGAATGCAGACTCTGAAAATTTTAGTTTAAATAATGACTGTTCAGTTTAAATAAATTCCGATTGAATGCCCATTCACTGGAACAAAAAGAAAACGCGCTTGAAACTCTGTGAAAGTTTATCAAGTTTTCAACTCCTCGGAATGTGCAATCTGTTGAATTATCAAAGCCCAAATTCATTCGAACTTTATCAACTTTGCGTTCAATCCAATAAACGATTCCATTAACACCGAGTCCTTCAGTCACCAGATAATACCCTCTCACATCCCTGGAAAATATTCACATCCCTGAACAGTTATTCCTCGTGGATCCACCTGTTTCCGCCTAAAATTCCCATGAATTATTCATTGCCTCGCATTATCCTAATTGATTTCCCCCTGAAATTCCTCTTATCAAATAAACCCGTAAATAGCAAAAACCATCAAATCAAGTCACTCATTTTTTTAAATTATAAATCAACGAATTTACTCCACCGTGATCAACTTTTCGTCGACTTCAATAACCGATTTTATCAAATTGTCACTTAATTATCAGACAATTGACATTGTCACTACAACTGAAGAAATCGATAATTGATGGACATTTGATTATTAATTTCAATCAATTCAAAATTCAATGAGGGATTTATAGGAAGTTTCCAGATCGTTTCCATCTCGATGCAGTAATTGAACTAAATTTGATAATTTCTATTAATTTGACAATTACAATTTCCCTCGTTATTCCATAAAGTTCGGAATCTCGGCTAGCGGAAATTTAGGAAAGTGCAAAAGTCGAATAAAACGGCAGTAGAAAGGACACGGAGTAAATATTAGAGTCCAACATTTCAGAGGAATAATCACAAATCCACATTCATCTCATGACAATAAATTTCCCGACAGGCGGACTTATCCTGTCAAAACACCCACCTAAGTGTAGGTGCAATATACACCCGCACAAACTTTGTGACATTAAAATACGTAACCGACGGATGGGGCAGTGAGACCAATGGCTTCCAGCTTGTCATCACCGCCGTTAAGGACGAAAGTGGGTATTAAATCAAACGAATGGCTTTTTCAAAATAATCCTAATCATCATTGCAAATAAATCTGTATAATTCACATTAAAAAATTTTTTTTTGTTAAATTATCTATAGGATTGACCCGCAAAAATAAATACTTCAATCTTGTTTATCGATAATTGTTATAATTTAATTAAAATATAATTTATAATTTAAAATTAATATAAAAATCAATTGTCCATCGATATTTATCGAAAATGGAATATACTTGATTCAAGTATTTTTTTTTGTGACTACCATTTTTGCATTTTTACATTTGATCATTATTCCATGACTCACAAATTGCTGAGACATAAAATATATAAATAAATAAACATCAACCGTGAAAATCTCCATTTTTTTCTCATCAATGCCATCGTAAATAAAAATGAGAAAACCGAGAATTTTTGCGGAGATGGTACCCTCAAACATGTTTGATATATAGAGTAAGAATTATCTCTTGAACCTCATCACCAGGACACACGTGCAAGGATTTCCGCTGTACCATGAATATGTTCTGCATCGACGAGGACCTAGTGTGCGACGGGGTAAATCACTGTGGAGATGGTTCAGACGAGGTCTCGTCGTCGGTGTGCGCCAGTGAGTACAATGAAATGAATTCGGACAATAAATTCCAACGTGACTATTCCATTCACGTGAATCTGTCGAAATTTCAGACACCGAGGCGTCAACAATACTCGGAATGCAGAAGACTTGGTTTGCCGTTGCTCTGGTATTTGGGCTTCTCAGTACAGCAGCTCTCGTCACTGCTGGGATTTTGTGCTACTGCCGGAGACGAGGAACAACCCCTAGGCACTCGCACAACACCCACAACGCACAGATGACCCACCCTCCGGTCAGCTTCCCATGTGAGTTACCCCGCAACGACAACATCCCCGAAACATCGATGTGCTTCATTCGTTTTTTTTCATTTTTTTAATTCCTTCATTTTTGTACACCCGGACTGGTCGAAGGTCGCAGCAATTTACATCGAAAATTCCAAACAATTCTCTGCAACGAGAACACGCACATTTTTCAAAATCCAAATCGTAATCGAAATCGGAATCCAGTTCAAATTTTGGGGCTGCACAGTGCCTATTTATTTTTATCAAATTCATTCATTATTGGAAGAGATAATCAGAAGATAATTATTGATAATTAATTATTTGGGGGAGTAATTGTTAATCTCAGTGAAAACGTGAAATTTCGATGGATTTTGCTACAACTGCCATTTGGCCGCTCTGCTCTGTCGCATTAATTATTATTCCCAAAACCTATCTGCATGATTGAACCCATTGATTTCTCTTTCTTAAAATCAGCGTTGCGCATAAACTTATCTTATCGCTCGTGACTTGCGTAATTCCGCGGGAGACGTATGCAGATTCTTATCACCTTGTGCTTTCAATGTTTGTATAATTGTCCCGAGGAGTGCTCATCAGTACTAATTACCACTTGTTAATTAAATTAATAATCCGTTTCAACTAGCAAAGTGGATCACCCAGCGATGACCGCAATGGCAGAGCACAAATGTCAATTCAATCCCAACTCGGTTTGTTATTCACCGTTAACTTTTGATGAAAGTCCGAGACAACCGTGTCCCAAAATACAAATACACGTGACCAAACTACTAAGTCGTTGAGATAAGTTTCACCTTCGTCGACTTCCTCGTCGGTTAATTTCAAGACGAGCAGTTTGAATCGTTACATCGATTCATTATGATATCGTCAAGGTAGTCACCAGTTTCTCCCCAATATATTTTCAAGGCAAGGGATTAGCATCTGCTGAGTCCCAATCCCAGTATCAATAAAAAAAGATTAGTGAGATCCGTAAACGAGTGGTATTTTTTCAAATTAAATAATTTATCGGGCACACATTGTCATTCATGAAGTATGTGAATGCGTAATAAATAAGGTTTCCACTGGGTCGCTATCATCCACCGGTACAATTGTCAAGCAGTATCAGGCGATTGAAGTTCGAGGCCAGTCAGAAATACTAATCAGTTAAAACCTGAAGGGTGAATGGTAATCGTCGGCTTGTCGTTATTGGCAGGTCTTGCAAGAGTGAAGTTTATTACCTTGAAAAGAACAGTCAGAGAGACAATGGGATTGCGCCCAGGCTGCTCAAGACACTTGTTGAGACTGACTCTGCTGATGATGATGTGTCTCCTATCAATGGGGGTCTTCGGGGTAGCACTATCGAAGAGTGTGTCCTACCAGACTCACAGATCTAACAAGATATCCCGACAATTTGGTATCAGCCACAGAGATTACTTCCTCGGTCCCTGCTTGGTGCACACCAATCAGACGTGTCCTGACGACGAGGTGACCTTCTTCTTGTACACCAGAGACAATCCTGGATCGGGCAAGCAGATATTCGTCAACGATTCATCATCAAATCTCCACGAGACGAACTTCAATCCCCGAGATCCAACAAAAATCGTCGTCCACGGATACAACTCGGACATGCGACTGGACTCCCTGGTGGACATAAGAAACGAGTACCTCAAGAAGAGGAGTTACAACGTTATTGCTGTTGATTGGCATCGGCTGGCCGTGGCACCTTGCTATCCCATTGCCGTTCACAATGTGCCACACGTTGGTGATTGTCTGGCTCAACTCATTGAGAGATTAAAGGACGTTGGTGCTATCGATATTCATACCATTGGATTTAGTCTTGGTGCACATGTGCCTGCATTCGCTGCTAATGCGTTGAGACCGTATAAAATACCGAGGATCACTGGTCTAGATCCAGCGATGCCCCTCTTTATAACTGTCAGCAAGGATGAAAAATTGGATTCTGGTGATGGTGACTTTGTCGACGTTTTTCACACCAATGCTTTCATTCAGGGTAAGGTGGAGACGAGTGGACACATTGACTTTTACATTAATGGAGGCATCAATCAGCCTGGCTGCTGGGGAAATAGAAATCCTTTTGGGTGTAATCACCACAGGGCTGCTGTCTATTTCGCCGAGTCTATTAACAGTGAGGTGGGATTCTGGGGATGGCCGTGTCCTGGATTTTTGGCGTATCTACTCGCTCTGTGTCCCCCCAGGGCACCTGCTGTCCTCGCTGGAGATCCTGTTGATGAGAACTATCGCGGATTTTTTCTGGTGCACACTAGGGATCACAGCCCCTTCGCCGAGGGCCCCTTTACTATCAGCACTGATAAAACATCACGATAAGTCGTTTTACGCGGCTGACGAGGGGTTCAGATTATTTCGATTGATGGGCGATGAGTTCGATTGGTTTATATGGCAGGGTATTTCTTTTGTAATTGAAATGTGGGATTTATTTCTCCGATCGGATTGATCCTGTGGGGTTTCGTGATCGAATGTAAATATTGGGAGGTGCATGAGGTGTGTTGTAAGTTATTACTCATGTATGCTTGTCAATAAATATTTATTTAATAGGATTTATTTTTTCTGTTGATTGAAAAGCTTAGCTGTTATCTTTTTTTTCCTTCTTGTCACGCATGGTTAATTTCATTGAAAAACCATGGCGAATTGCGAATTGCGAATTCGATAAATCAATCTATTTGTATTTTTATTCATCATAATAAATAAAAAATAATTAAATTCTATATCATCATAAATTCATGAAGTTAACAAATTGTCTATGGAACTCGCGCGTTCTTTAATGAAGTAACTCCATGAGTCGTGTATTTTTTTTGCTGCTGATTTGGTTGGATGATTTTTTTTTATTTGACGTTGGAGCTGTGCTGGTTGTGATGTTGACATGTGGGTTTCTTCTGATTATGGGGATTGGCCATCGTGTGGCGGGACTGATGTGTCTTACGATGTTCCAGTGCAACAGATGCACGGATCAAACGGTGCGAGCGCCGGGATGCCAATGGGCATGACAACGCTCAAGGGCTCGATGGGAACACTGGGCCCTATCAGCAACATGGGCCATGTGGGAATGGGGTACGGGCTAACGGGAGCAACGACACTACCACGGCCGGGAAACTGGCTGCCCCCTGCGGGCCTCAGGCTCGGGCACAGCGTGGCCCGGGTCCGCCTCTACTGCCAGGCAGAGTGAGGAGTCATGGATCAGACAGGTCAGTAACATCAACATCATCACCGGATGACTATTTTTTTAAATCTCCTCTTGGTTTATATAACTGGTAACTGTACACTGGAAAAAAAAAATCCTTTCGCAAAAATATTTTGAAAAAAAAAAATGATGATAATGATAATAATAATAATAATGATAATAATTCTCACGGTTAATTCTCCTTGGGTCCGAAGTGTAATTCCTGGTGTGAATCGACTAAATATTTACTATAATAATAATCACAGAGTAATTTTTTATACTAGTATTATTTTTATTCTAAAAATAATTTTGATGATATATGATATTTGGTATTGGCGTACAGATAAGATAGGCTGATGTTGAATATATTTTCTTGTGGTAAGTTAATTTATTTGGGAAATTTTTTTTTTAGTGTATGTTACCGATTCTGTTGCGAAGTGCATTTTTTTTTAAGTCAGTTTTCACTTGATTTCTCGGAATTGAAGGGAGTTAATGAGATTTTTGTGAATACCTTTTTTGTAGCTCTTAGATTTTTCTATAGATAATGATTATTCAGAAAATTCACTATGTTCTTTGTGTTTCGAGATATTTGAGGTTTATCACAGTGGGAGATCTTTCGTACGTTTTTAATGAACTTTTGCGATGGTTCGCAAAACTCGAGAAAAACTGGTTAACAATTTGTCAGAGAAGTTACAGAACTGGTGATTTTGGTGATATCATGATTATAAAATTGATGGGAGTATATTCTACTTCGGTGAAACGAATTTTTCTCTCGTCGCGAGTTATTGTGGGCTTGAGAAATCATTGAGAAAGATAAATTTGGGTGAATGACGCTCGTTGACTTCATTGATTTTCCAATTTCAGTGACATTTCCTCCAGCCAAAAGGACGAGTGGTTTGTGTAGGTGAGTGATTTCAAATAAATTTAATAAACAATCCAAAAATTATCAAGACTGAAAAAAAAAATAAATGAAAACAAAATTGTCAATTTCGACAGGTAATAATAATTTTTAATTGCGGGCTGATTACCGCAGTCGACTAATAACCGTATTATTCACTTAAATAGAGGCAGACCTGGACCAAAGCCCGCAGGGTGAACCGGGGACGTTGGGTGCCCTTGGCCACGTCCCCCAGGTGTCAACTATCACCGCTAAGACTAATATATCAGCTACAAAGTTATCGTACCGTGCGCCACGCAACACATCGACATTATCACTGCCCTATAGAGATGCGCAAGAGTTTGTTGATTCCAAAACTAATTAATGCACCCAGTGGCATAAAACTTTGCACAAAGAAAAAATGTTCCTTGATGGTACGAAAAATTCTACCGATAACAAAAAAAAATAAAACAAATCTCCAGATCCATGGAGACTATTCTCTCAAATCATCACAACATCTTGAGTCACTCCACATTTTTCTTGCTCTTAAAACAATTCAAGGAGAAATTTAAATTAAACCACGAAAAAGTTTGGGAAACTATTGGAATTTGAACTTCAATGAAGTTTCTCTAGATTTGATAGAGAAGTAATTGGAGATTTATGGAATCGGTGGATAAAAGATGTTTTCCTATCATCAATAAATTTTTTTGTCTTTGTGGATGATCTAGAGATGCTTTCCGTCGGTTGAGTTCTCCGATAGTAGTAACGGGAGATCTCAATGAAATCTAGTGTGAATAATGTAATAACGAATTTACCTATTCCCTCTTGCTCCACTAGACCTTAACGATTGTTTTATGAGAGCAGTTGGTTCGCTCTAACCTTCATTTCATCACGATTGAGTGATGAAATAGTGTGACAATATTTTTGGGTGAGTTAAAATGAGATAAATTGGCGGGATAAATTATAGCGATGGCCACGCGACGAGATTCATTAACTAAACAATTATCCTTGAGTAATATAAATAAGTATATATGTACGTACTATCAGAAGAGATTCATTAGTGATGAAATATTATTGAATTATAAAGTGAATGATTCCAGACAGACCACGTGTGAATTCGTATACCAGAAGTAGATGATTTCATATTTAAAATGAATGAGAAAAAAAAAAATAAGAAATAGCTAAAATCGTATTGTTGAATTGGATAAATAAATAGTTTTGCCATGTATTTCGATGTATTTTATGAGATGTTAGAAGAAACAGAGGGGAAATGATGAATTTGTTTCATATCATGTTGAGACGTGACGTGAATTTTCTGTAGGTAGTGATCGCTGCTTCTTCAGAATTCTTGTAGCAAAGGGACTATTAATCATATCAGTTGAATGGAGAATATATTCTCGAATCAAGAATATCATCCATGATTGAGTTTCATCGGTGAGCAGTCGATTTTAAGGTAAATTAAGACGTATCATCTGCCAACATATCTGAGAAATAAATCAGAGCATATCAGAATGTTCCAATAATCCCCCAATCAATCTCCTCAACACCCAGCAACTTTAATCCCCTGGGAATTATAGTAATCATTGATTGGTTAATGAATCCTTGACGAAAATCCTTTTTTTTCCTGGTGTACAAGGGAATGACAGATATTTGCCGATTTGTTTTTTCGTTTGTATGGGAAATAATGGAAATCTACGATTACACGTCCATTTACCAATTAGTCTTTCTTCGTTATTCATGAACTTAATACAATGACCGCATGCTAATCTTTCGGATATATCTGCAAAGAGAAAATTGTCACGTATGTGGTGTGTGTTTACCGAGTGTTGTGTGTGGTTCAAAGGTGAAATAACAAATAATTCTCTGTAAATATCGTTTCACAGTTTTTATAGACTGAATCCCCGATTCTAATACAGATTGTGCATCGAGTGGATGCTCGTTAATTACGAATTTATTTTTCACTGGATTTTTGATTGATCGTTTAACATTTTATTTTATCAATGAGAGACCATTGACACAATACCGAGAGTAACACAGCGTAAATTTAATGAAAAATGTACATAATAAGATACTTGCATTTAATACTCATTAAGCTTCATGCCGTCTTCATACGATACCGAATATGTGAATTAAATGGGTGACATTAAATCTGTACTGATCAGAGACCCAATGAGTGGTTGAGTAATCGATGAATTAATGATTAATAAATTGAGATTACAGATGGGAATAATTCATTCTTGCTGGAGGAATTTTCAGTCATTTCGGGGTATTCGATTTGTTTACGAGTGTAGATTTGCTTGTACGTGGATTTTTTATGGGCCCAATTCAGGAGAAGAATTCAATAGCAAAGGGGTTGACTGAGATGAGTCTAATTTAAGATTTCTGTTTTGATTTTGTAGTCAATTAAGGATTTATCGAAAACAGTCGATTTGAGGGGAAAATAGTAGAGAACTTTTTTGTAGCTGATTAAATTTCCAATAAATAATTATTTTTCACATTTCCTCGTAGAGTCATCGGTTTTGCAGATAAATCGACAACTAAAATTCGATTTATTCCATTTCTCCACTTCGGTAGTGAATTCTTATCATAGGAAACGATCGACATACCTTGGAAACTAGCGAATTAAAGGGAAAACTGTAGAGGACTTTTAGGGTGTTAATTAAATTTCCGATAAAAAAGATCTTTTCGTATTTTTTGCTAAAATCGATAGGTCTCTTCATTTTAGCCCGCGAATTACGTAAATTCCTTTGCGGCCACGCTATTCTAGTTTCTTGGGAACAAAAAAACGTTTCTTCAGATTCAGTCAATTAAAAGGATTAGAAGTAAGAATAAACAATAAGTTACCTGCAAATTCGGAAAATTGACTAGTGCATATGTAGACTCTCCTTGAAAAAAAATCTAAATCCTCACCTCGTCCCGTTATTTTCACGCGTCTGCAAGAGAGCAAGTAAAAATGATAAACCAGTGTGCCCACAATTGAGAGACTAACAATTTAATTAAATCAGTACATGCATGAAAGAGAATCATAGAAAAACGTCGTCGCTTTTTAATAACTCCACTTCCACAAAATCTATTCACTTTTTACTATCAAATAATCTCTCAACAGAATGACTCGTTGAAATAATTTCCAAGAATCATAGGAAAAGCGAGTATAATAGCATAATTTTAAATAGAACTCTATTATAAATTCAAGATAAATGATAATCTCGCAGAGAAAGCGCTAGACTATTATTTCTTATAATTTTCTTTCACGCGTGCGACTGATTGAATTTTGATGATGTGGATTTATTCACATTTAGACAACACGATCAGTAACAGTCGATTGATTTACGACTGGTATACAAAATGAGAGACATTACCTGTGCAATATGTTTAACAAAAAAAATATCTGAAACAATTAGACGAGCATAATGTTGTTTCTTTCATCGGTTCACTCCTATATGTTCACTGTACTATAAAACATGAAGGACTAAGGACTAATCATTTATATTATAAGTGGCACAGTTGATTTCCAATGAAGCGATCTTCGGTCACTGTAGATGATGAGGGAATGATAATTATTAATCAAAAGTTATCGTAGATTGACACAATTGTCATTAAAAATAAACTGCAGATTGTGGCATTGGAAATTGAAGAGACAACGTAACAATAAGAAAATTGGGAAACAATACAATAATTTTTCATACTGTTTTTACTTTTAATACTGTTATTGCGTATGATTATGATGTTATGTCACAGTCACGAATTGCGTAATTAAACATTGTAATTAATACTGGTCACGAATTATGAATTTTTGGGAATAATGTGATTATCCTCTGTCGTGACTATAATTTTTGACCAGATTATCATTTAGTCTCGTGTAAAACCATATACCTTAGTGCGAAATACTTCTAGATATATAAATACGTCATTGAGAGCAATGTTAGTAATTTTGTGAGTTACGAGTGCTTATAAATGAATTATCGATCATTTGTTATTGGTAAAGTGATTGCTAGTTACATACCTTAGGGGAATTTACCGTTTTTTGAGAATTTTTTCCACCTGTCGCTAAGGTTGTCATGTCTAGAAGCATCTCCATGGAAATTCGTAGGGGAATCTTAGAAAAGATCTTCGGATTTAAATATTCAAGAGAAAGTGTTAAGTGGATAAAATTCAGGTGCAAAGAGCTGAGGATTAATAACTGGATTTGTTTTCCGGTCGAGTTTTCGAACGATATCTCAGAATCTAAGAGGAATTGCGGATTTTTTTTAGAAGCTTTTTTGTAGAGTGGAAGGAGAGCTGCGGAAAAAATCTTAACGAAAATTTTGCTAACTCTTTTCGATTCAGAGGTATTCCTCAAAAACCGATTGTGTCAATTCATTTGTCATTCTTTACCTCTTGATAACTGAATCAATAAAATTCAATTCTGTCATCAAACTTGTTTAGAAAAAATTCCCAATGACGTTATCTTCTATTCTCTCCAAAGAGGAATGAAGAAGAACGGAGGACTGATGAAGAATTGATATCGTTCATAGAAATTCAGTAGCAAAGTGGTGAAGTGAAGTTAAATGTCGATAATCTCAAGAGCTATCGATTTCAAGAGAAAATATGAAAAAATCTGTTCTATCGGAAATTTAATCAGCTACAAAAAATGTCCTGTGTGTCTTCTCCTTTTTTGACGATTTTTCGAGATAAATCGATAGTTAATAAACATTAAATTCGACTTCTCCACTTGACTGGTGAATTTACCTATCGAAAGACTGAGAAAATTGTTCTCTTGAGACTTCTCATCCAAACTCACTACCTAGAAATTTAAATAGATCACAAGATTAAACCCGACAACCAGTGGAAAATATTTTATTCTAAAAGAAAAGCTCCTACTCATTCCTAGTGGTGCAGAAGCGCACAATTACAATTGGCGATAACAATGGGGAAATCGTGTTGATAATATAAAAACAGGGGAAGGAGGGGCAGACAATACCTCCACACAGTTGATAAAATATCTGTTGTGTGCATAACAGAGCAAGAGAATTATGTTATGAGATAAAATTTTACCCTCGATGAGTCAGCATATAAAATTTAAAAGAATAAAGAGAAATGAATAATTGATTGATTGTAATAATTTATCTTTGGCTGATCCCTCCAAATAATTTATTTCCATTCTTACATTCGGTCGTCTGTGCACTTGTCTCTACATATCCTAATGACTCGTGACACATTACAATGATTTACTTCCACCGAGTAAACAAAACGAAAAACTAAGAGATAATGGCGGGTGGTTGGAAATACTCCAAAACAATTCGTTAAACGCATTAGAATATCTTTGTACAAATTATACATATAAAATTTGCATTATCACAAGACATTGTTTTACCACTACGTGACGAATTTCATTGGTAATATATCAATTGCACTAACACTTTACTTACATTCATTATTTATTTTAGTTGTCAAGGGAAAAAATGATTATTGGAAATCGATTTTTCCATTTATCGTCCATTACTCGTTTTTCCGCTTGTCAATTTATTATTTATTATCTACTGTTTTACAAAGGCGTTCGATGGTTAGAAACAGTTTTCGTTGTTAGTCGAATATCAGAGACGAATCCTCTGGTTATTTGTTCGTAAATTATTTCAATTTGTTCGTAAATTATTTCAATTTGTTCGTAAATTATTTCAATTTGTTGGTTTATTATTTCAACGGGCTTTTTTAGGTCTTTGTGTGCCTTCTTCCTCATCGGAATAAAGTTGACAGTAAAAAAGAATAAAGCGGTTAATTGTAGTCGACGTGACGATGATATATTCAATATTCAAGTTATCTTTATCCATCCGAAGAATTCTAAAAAGCGTATATCTTAAGTCTTGATAACAATTGTCATCGTACATAATGACAGATGATGAAAATTTGTTTTATTCTCTGTACATTAAAATTTCAGAATTGCATGAAGCAACAGCTCGATGAGTCATCGTGGCAAAAGCCAGAAATTCAGTTGGTTAATTGGTAAAAAAATAGTTCCACAGTTTTCAGAGATTATCGGTTGAACTCTTCGATTATAACCACACGTCGTGAAATTCTATAGAATAATCCATACGAACGACAGAATTTCAAGAGTACCCAATCGAATTGAGAAAGGGTCTCACCAATGTCACAGTATTTTTTATCGAAGACCCTGGATTATTCTATTCATTTCATTGAACATTGGCTTATCGTTATCATCTTCGCTTTTTTGTATAAATTTTACAACTCTCTCATGCCCATCATTATCTTCAGTACTTCGAGTGTTTCCTGACTAGATATTTAACACTAATCTTCAACGATCTCTTCAATATACTACATGTACAATTTTTTAAATATTAAAAATTACTTTCGAAAAAAAAATATCTCAATTATTTCTGTATACTCAATAACAACAGTAACGCCATCGATAACGATAATACTTAGTCAAAAGTTCTACCATGATTCGTCAGGAAATCACAGTAGTTCATTATTACTGACTTGCATAATGAGGAAAATTAGCACCTGACCCTCGCTGTTAAAAAATATCCACTGAAACCTCCGATAATTCTTGGGAAATCCAGTCAGGTGATAGCTCCACGGAATTCTCAAAGAACTCCTTTAAAATTCCTTGAATTAAAATTCAGGGAGTATTTCTTAACAACATTGAGAGTTTGTGTTAAATTTTTTAATAGAATCATCTCCAGGAAATTCATCATGAGATCCGGAAAATTCGCACATTCCACGAAAAAGTTCTGAAGAATGGATATATAAAGGTGTTATTTAAAGTAGAAATCTCTATAAAATATTATTTTATAGAAAATCCTTTAGAACTCTTCGAGAAATTCCGATTTTTATGGAACTCTACGCTGAAAAATCTCGAGGAAAACAGAAAACCCCTTGCAATCACATCATAATTTCTAAAAACCCTATAGAATTTTTTATCGTCCTAAATATCGTCTTTCATTTATCAAAATAGATTATCACACTAGGGACAAGTCCATAAAATCAATTACTAATAACTACGACGTGAATGAATTGCATCCTAAACTGATTGAGAAAAAACGTTGACCCAGCGAATTACGTAAATATTGATTTGAAGCAATTGAGGTATATATCCACAGGACGGCAAGTATTTCTTATTTAGATGTCATTGTCTATTAATTAATATTCCTCTCTTAAATGAATGATAAACTGTTGTATCAGGTAAGCGAGCAGTTGAGGCATTTTCGGGACGATTTAATTGCAAAGGCATTAATTGAAAAATCTCGAGCTTCCTCTAAAAAATTCCATTGGATTTTCTTATAAAAGATAAACAAATAGGAAAACTAATGCCCAAGAATCTTTACGATTCCAAAATGATAATTATAATTTGCGTAATCTCTTATAGAAAAAACCACTAAAAACAAACAGAATTTGCAATAGAATTCAAACAAGACTAATAAAATTCCCCTAGAGTTCCAACAGGAATTAATTAGAACTTCTTAGAGAATGCCCTCAATTTTTTATTCATAATTGATCCCTGAACCCAAAAATTGTACTGACGTTTACACTCAGATATTCCACTCGCAAATACCGACCGCAAAAGGCACAAGATTTTCCAATTATAATCTGTCACTATCACTCGCATTAACTAGACCGTCAATATAATTTATCACCTGCGGCAATGGTTAAGGCTTAAATATTTTTAAAGGTTCAGGGAATATTTCGGTATTTGATTTTCGCTGTGTCTCCGCTAATTGTCCATTAATTAATTTTTGGTAAATTATTATCATCGTTGTTATTATTAATAGCAATTGGTGGAGTCATCAAAATATTAATGAAGACTTGGGGAGAATCTCATCGGAATCTCTTTCATCGCTTTTCCGTCATTTTAGCGAGTGTCATTTATCCATTATTTAGAATATTTGTGACTGAAAAATAATTGTTCTGCATTTAGGCTTATTGTGCGACAATAGTGGCAACGAGGTATAGCGTTACATTTTGACGTATTCGTGTAGTCTTTTGTGCATCAAATCCTGTGATTTAACAGTAACTCATTATAGTATAATTAAAAGCGTTTAGTTCAGCAAATTCTTTTCAGTATAAAAAATCGCCAAGGCCTTTTGTTCGTTCAATTAATCCTGCGTCAATATAATAACTTGGTGTATGCCTTCCAATTCACCAACGAAGAGATAAATAATAAATTTCATTCAACCAATAAATACAAATACCTCAAAAACTAAACAAAAACAGCGAAATTTTAATAGAAACCTCCTTCGTAGGTGATTTTCTTGGTGTCCGGAGTTGTTCCCCTGGGAAAAAACATCCGGGACAAAATTCCTCGGGAAAAACTCCCAAAAAACCAAATTATTTATCTTATCCTTCATTTTGAGTCTTTGAAAACGTCTGTTTTTGTCTTACAGTGGCTGTTGTCATTTGTTTGTGTAGTCCGTACTTCATCACCGGGAGGAAATACGTATTTTATTTGCCCTAGGAGAGGGGCTCTCGTTAGGGTATTTTTTTTCGACTACTAATTCGATTGATCCGTTTGTTTTGTTTAGGGGGAAAACTCCTACAACGCACATTTTCGTTTACAGAAAAATTTCCTCTGAAAATTTCGCTATCCCCGATCAATTCAGAGATATTCCTTGAAATCTCGACTAGGGAACAAGTCGATTTTGTCTTCACTCTTCGAATCAATTACTGAATAAAAATTTTGTAATCTCAGTTGCAAATAGCGATTCCTTGAGCCCTAGAGAAGGAACCCGCCCACCGAATTGACATACTCGTAACAATTATTAATAAATAAATTATTGGAGTTGATTAAGTTTCAAGATCTTTTCTGGGCCCATTTGAAATCGTCCACTCGGGGTTTGTAGCCGGTCGTTAATTCGATAATCGTTTCTAGGACGTACCAAAAGCGCAGTTTCTCGAGGGGCCAGTTTAGCCAGCCCGTTGTTATGCAGAAATAGGTTTCATGGGGGGCAACATGATGGACACGATGATGACGTCGAGGGAGAATTATACGATGCTCTTGGAGCCAAACAACCCATCCTGGTAAACCGAAGTACGTGTGTGACCACTTGTGAATTTGATTAGTCAATGCAACGAATATCGCAAGTTGCCACCAGTAGCAGATCCACAAAAATCTCCTCTGGATATCGCTCTCTGGTAGAGTGAGAAAGTCCCACGTTAATTTGGATAACGCAGGTATCGTAACCATGAAGTTGTCACCATTAGTCTCGATGAAATCGTGTCTTGTTATACTAGTGGGATCGATGTGATGCTCACGAAAGGGCCTCAGAAAATTCTTACCGAGTATCGGGAGTTCGATGGAGCCCCACGTGTCGGCGGCCCAATGAACGAGTCCCGATATAAAATCAGCAGTCACAATGCCGCACAGTGCTGCTATCAATATTGAGCTCAAGCTCTCAATTCTCAGGCGAATTACGATGAAGAAGGAATTAACTGCCATTAGTGTAATGAAAATTCCAACGCAAATGCACTCCTGCGTTCTTTTTCCTATTAAAGCAAACAGTAAAATTACTGTAGATAAAATAACTTGACTTCACTAACTTTTTCAAAATATCGCGGTATCTGAGCGAGATAACGATTTTTTTGTAATAACCTTTTTCGTAGCTTTCAATTGGATTAACAAAAAAGGTTCTTACAATTATTTTGTAAAGAACGAAATTCAAGGTAATTCAGGGGAATCATTACCAGTGCTGTATAAATTAGCGAGTTCTTGTGCCCCTCTGTGATTAGGCCCCCACCTCGGGGTATTGCTGTCCTCCTTGGAGGGTCTCACAACGGAATTGGCATTAGGATCGTCCTCTAGCATAGAATTCTCGTAGATTTGTCGTTCAGTCTTGACGGGAGCTAGGATTTTAGTGGCCATGGTGCAGGCGGCGGTGGCCGCCAGCTCAATATGAGGAACTGTCGAGGTATCCATTGTCCAAGAATCCTACACCCTCAGGACATTGTATCCACTATTTTCACACATTCCAGTAAAAATATCCTCAAATGTCAACACCAAATGTCAGCACTGGAACAACTTGTCACAGGAGTGGAAGTCGTCACGAGCAAATCAGGTGCCAGTGGTTACGACCGATTTATCTGGTGCTGGGTCGATTCTTATTTCTCATAAACACTGTTTATACCGGTCAAATTTCCCGGTACCACATTGTGGCACCGTCAATCATCTGACACGCCTCACGTGTCTCGTGGAAATTTACAAACCGAATATTGTCACGACAGTCTCGTATTTGCTCTTCGTTTATCGCGTCTTAATTCCGACAGGATCAACATCTCATTGCAACAAACTCTCTTATCTCCATTTGCTTCAGTCTTGGGTTATCACCTCGGCAATTCCTGGAACGAGTAAACAACAGAGATTGAAAGTGCGTGCAAATCAAGAATAATTAATTTACTCAATCTTCAATTTATGTAAAATTAATTCTCATTTTATGATGATTCTTGTGAGTCGTAGAATTGACCTCTCCGACATATCAGAACAAACAATTAAATTGTGTACTGAATTCTCCAGATAAAAATCTAAAGATTGTTTAATTTTCAAGAATGGAAATTTTCCGAAATAAAATTCCGCTTAAAATTAATCCTCGATTTAGAATTTAGATTTCAAAAAATTCGAATGATTTCACTGAGTATCTCGAATATTATTGAATAATTCTAAAACTGAAACGTCGATGGATCTTTATCGATTGTTATCAGAGTTATCAGCCTCCGGGGATTCTGAATGACATCTAGACCCGTACAAATGTCAAACTCAACTTTTTGATCAATTGTCGAAAGAACGACTTCCAGGCGATGATTTCACCCAGCACTCACGCAAAATTTTTCACAAGCCCACACATACACCAGAGTCAGGTCGACGACGTCCTCGTGGACACGCAACGGTAATTACCCAACAACGTAGAGAAGTAAAAAATTGAACATGAAAATTGAGCAAAAAAGGTGAGTTCTTGATTAAAAAAAATTGCAACGATTTATCGAAACTTGGTGGCCTCGGCAGTGGCTTTTCATTAATTATAATTAATGCTGACGCTCTCGATGACTTAGAGTATTAGTCAGTATCTAATGTACAGTTCAGACACTAGTCTATTACTGAGTTACTCCCACCTTCATAAACTGCCGAGAGACAACTATTTTTTCCTCAGTGAATTACAGCTGCCACTTCTTCGATTACTGCCAATGGGACACAGATTTTTTTTTAATCCCCAGTTTAAATTTATTTTAACTTCTGGGGCTTGACCACGAGGTGGGTTAAACTCGTGTCTGCACACTGCCGCATACCAGGAGACAATACGAGACTATTCTCCTCTCAACCCCATGTCAGGCACTAGTCAGACTGGATCTTGTGCCAGACTAAAAACTCTGTCAGACGCCGTCTGATGACGACGCCCTCCGTCGCGACGCCTGCAGCGCCGTCTCATGGAACTATTGTTTTTTAAGTTGTTGCTGACATTTTTTCATTTTTCATCATTTTTTGGAAATTTCTGGGGGGTCCTGGATCAGGTTGATGTGAAACATTATTATATTGTTGTTTTTATATTTATATTGTTGTTTTGTTCAATGATAAAATGACTCACCGAATTTTATAGTCATTCGTCTCCTTTTATAAATTTTTGGTCAAGTCTTGCCATTTTTCTTTTGTCGTTATTTTTATTAATTCTTTATAAATTCGGTTTTTGAGGATTATTGATGATAGGATTTCTTGGAATGAAAATTCAACATGCCATTTGTACCCGTCAGTATTAAGTCGATAATAATTGATCTGCAACGCCGATTAGCCTCAACAGGTTCCCCAGACTGAATATAATTAACAGCGAGTATCATGCAATCCGACACTTGCCATAGATAAGCTTATTGTTAATGCCATGAATTGTTAAGGTCCATTGAACTTGTCGGCGCATCTACTTGTAACCGGTTTTTACCAGTGCGTATTTACAACTGAAGGACGACAGCCACTGACCGCAACAACCACGAAAAAGCCCACTCCTGAAACACTCAGAATTTAATGATGTCATCATAATTAATGAGGAAGGATCAATTTCTCCTAGCATTGTCGCACATCGATCCGGTGAATTATTAATTCGGGAAATGTCCCACCAGGAAATTTTCGGAGTGCGATGCATCAATTTTACCCTATACTAAAATCTACGACGATTTTCCTGCAGCCAATAAATCTTCTTGGTAAAATAATTATTTATCGAATATTGATGATGAAAATTTGTTGAATCTGAAGTGAATTATTCCATAGTTTCTAAATATTATATATTATAAATTGAATTTTAATTGTTTAGAGATACTTAAATAGAATAGGATCATTATTTCTTAATAATCTTCAGACCCAGCTTTTTAAAAATAATTTTTACGACTCTTTCATCCTGAGAAATTTCTTTCCAGAGACTAAATACCGACCAGAGAGATAACACATAATCTATTTTAAGCGACTGCATCATATTTTGCCTGACTAATCATTGTTCCTCATTTTTCAACAATTTTCCTGCATCGCGTGATAATTCTCTCGCTCTGCGTCTAAATTTCTCATGGACACCGTTAATTCTATTGACGATCCCACCTCCATAATTATCTTTGTTGCTCCTCAGCAATATAACTTCAAGCAAAATATCGATTACGTAACTGCTTTTTCCGGGATCGATTACCTTTCTGTTTTTACGTGTATCGATCACAAACTAGAGTCAAAGGACACGTAGCCACTACCTCGGGGTCAAACTTACTTGCAGATAAGTGCAAATACCACTTTAAAAAAATTTGCACGCCTCCAACAAAAAATTACAGGAAATATTCCTGATATTCCATTCTTTAAAAAAGTATTTTGCATATTAAAATAAAATGTTAATCATGATCTCAACGCCAAGCTCTCATTTATTTATGTTTTTCATTTTTGAAAATTATACAGTAACAGATGAATTGTTTCCTTCAATTCAATGAATTCTCTTCATTGCCGAACGGTTTTTTCCGAATATGCAAAAAGCTATGATTTCGAAAATTACGCGCAAGTAATGAACATCATAAAACCGTTGTGTCACTCAAAATCGCATTTGCAATCGGTTCTATAACAGCCGACGTAAACATTCGTTTTACGTTTCCGAACGTAAGTTTAACGTGATTTATGGTAATTTCTGTGATATTTTTCTTCGGTAATTTATCTGTTTAAACCACGTGCACCGACGATTCCAGCGATCGACTTTTCTGGCGTCCAGTATTTATAACTTAGAAATAAAGTTACTCTCACACGAGTTGAAATAACTTTCATTCACTTGGATGCTCCATGCGACGGGCTACAATCAGGGGATTTAATTAAATGGGGCTCGGTGATGGCTGGAAACGACCTAGATATCGATCCGTATGACCTTATGGAATTCGAGGAATTGAATTTCCTGATATGGGATTTATATTTGACGAGATACCTTTCGATACTCATCAACGATAATTCGATTTCAATTGGAGTCTCGATTTTTAACCAATTGTTATTAATGAGAGCGGCTTATAAAAAATATTAAAAAAATTATATAATTACCAATAGGTAGAACATAAATCGGTGAATATGTAATACATACATCAATACATAATAAATGAGTTTTTATTTCCCCTTATTCCTCGCTGTGAGGAAAAAGTGAATTCATTACGTTTGAGATTCTGGTTGTTATTTTTAAATGTTTTATAATTCCTGGGGAATTAGGGGAATTAGTGGCGATCAGAGAGTGTCGTATAATTTTCGAGGAATTTGTTCCAATGGAATTGTCGTTTTGATGAAGTCTTACAGACATCCTTTGACGTTAACCAGCAATTTCCTCTGATAAAACGTAAATGCTCGTTATCTTGAACATGAGACGATGACATTTTCTACTGGAGTTAAAAATGTTGAGGTAGTTCCTCGTATGAAAAAATACTCCAGTATTTATATCAACGATTTAAACAATTAAAACGACAATTAAAAAATTCAATCGTAGATTCTTCCCTGATTCTATCTGATCATTAATAGATGAACACATTCGATTTTTTTACATAAATATTCTGAGGAGATAATGCTCAATAAATATTTTATAGTTTATAGTTAATTTTATGAGAATAAATTAGGAAATTCCATACAAATTTTTATGCAAATATCAAGATCTTCATAGTTTTTCAGAAAATTACTTGCGAGCAATTAGTAAAGAGTTGAGTTTTTCCCTGAATTTTTTATACATGTGGCACGTGGTGAACCCCCACCCCGAATTTTCTGTTGGACGTCCTGGTGTTGATCAGTGGTTTTTAATTATTCACGTCTTCTTTAGGATGGATATAATAGGACATTAACGTCGGGTCACGAGCACTCCAGGTTTGTTATCTAATTATTCATCCAATTGTTATCGATCCATTGTTAAAGAGGTCGTAGAACTCCGGTTTGTTTACTCGTAGAAACATCTCTTTTGGGGTAGAAGTCCTCCGAAATTTTCTAGTTTAGAGTGAAGTTGAAGGATCTTCTAGAGGATTTGACATCCAGGGACATGCGTTTGTCGGTTTTTAACGAGAATGATGAAGTACTACTCCTGGGGGAGGGTAATTTCTCGTTCACCAAGAGTTTACGTAAATATAACCTGAAAATTCGAATCACGTCTACTTGTTATGAAACTTCAGCAATAAATGAAGAGGCACAGAGGAATATTGAGTATCTAAGAACTCAGGGTTTGTATCGATCAATATTAAATTAAAACATTATTACCGGAAATTAAGAGATTCAATTATTTATCATTCGTTGGTCTTTTATTCGACTATTAAAATACAGACGTACCTTTCCACTATTTCGCTATTTTGCTCGCTAAAACCTTGATTAATAATTAATAGTTCCCTTGATAAATAATTAATAATTCCCTTGCTTTTAGGAGTATCAGTTCTACTTGGAGTAGACGCGACGAAATTATCGGAGTACCCATTACTGAAATCCCATAAATTCGATAAAATAATCTTCAATTTTCCCCATTGCTGTAGTAAAATGCGACTAGATAAAAATCGACGATTGTTGAGAGATTTTTTCGTGTCGTCTGGTGAATCCTTGAAGTCCGATGGCCAAATTCTGGTGACTCTGTGTAATGGCCAGGGTGGGACCTTGAGGGACGTCCCGAAAAGACGGTGGGACGACTCCTGGAAGATCAGAGAAATGGCAGCTCATGGAAATTTCGTTCTGACATCAGTCGAGAGTTTCTGTGAGGATTTATTCGAGGATTACAAAGTCACCGGGTATCGGGGGCTAGATAAGAAATTTCATATGAACGAAGCACTCACACATTTCTTCGTCAAAGTATCTCCACCCGTTTCTTCTGATTTCGTTCCCCATTCAATTTTGGCGGAGCAGCTGATATTTAAACAATCTGAGAATTCAGAAAATATAAAATGGAATACAGTAATCGGCACTCATAAATTAAAGACTGACGAATTATCTCCTCCATTTTTTGCGTTCGATCTAACATTTGCAATTCCCAAAATATTTAATGAAATCCGGTTGTACGTGGTTTTATACAACTACGCCGGGGTAATCATAAAAAATGTAGAGTTTGTCAGAGTCTACGAGTTTCCAGAATCGAATAGAATAACTAGAACTTATAGATTAATTTATCATTCTGACGAGTTGCCACTGTACAGGGAAAGAGTCATAGAAATCCACAAGAGTGTTATTTCAAATCTGTTGGAGGAAAAGCTCGATGTAATCGTCTGTAGATAATTGAATAAATTTTTGTTACGAAGATATAAGCTGATGTTATTAAAAAATATTTGGACACTCCCTTCTTTGTGTTTCAGATGCAGACACTCCAGAAGTTGACGTGCCTCACATTGAGACACTCGATACGAAAGCAGAAGACAATAGAGTTATGCAAAACCTTAACGGGTGTTGAACTGAATTTAATAAGACATCCTCGTAGGACATTCCATTGTGCCAGTTGTTTTTGCAATGACGAAGTGGCACGTCCGCTTCGTAGCCGAAAGCCCAAGTCCACCAGGGATACACTCCAATATTTTGTAGATGTTAAACAGGTGACGCACATCCTAATCCACATCAAATAAATCTGCTCGTCTAAAAAATGCTCATTAACGTTTTTTCCAAAAAACAGAAAAATTATTACACGCTCAGATTTTGTGAGTCATCAAATGATTATAAATCATGACAGGAAATAACTAATTACAACATCATCATCTTCACAGGTGAGAGTATCAGGGGGACAGGGTGGAGATGGTGCGATAAGTTTTCTTCACGCGTGGTCGAACGAGAACGGCGGCCCCGATGGAGGAGATGGGGGTCACGGAGGTCACGTTATCTTCCAGGTATCGAGGGATGTAACTAGTTTGAACCACTTGAAAACCGTAACCGAGGCGGAGCCGGGGGAGAAGGGATACAACAAAGATTGTCATGGAAAAAATGCTCAACATACAGTGATCAAAGTGCCTGTTGGCACAATTGTCAGGAGCACCAGTGGAAATATCCTGGCGGATCTTGAGGATGAGGGGATGATGTTTATTGCAGCTCGAGGGGGAGCTGGAGGCCATGGAAACGCCTTCTTCACATCTGATGTCCAACAAGCACCGAAAATTGCAGAGTTTGGGGCTAAAGGGGAGGAGAAGCAATATGTACTGGAAGTTAGATCGATGGCACATGTTGGATTGGTAATGAATCACCATTACTCCATGCAAAAAACATTAACAAAAAATGAATGAATGAAAAAATGGAATAATTATATAATTTTGATATTTAATTAATAGTATTAACTGCATTAGAACAGAAATTGAATGATAATTTATCATACTCATGTTCTCCCGATACTTTTTCGAAAATGATAATTTATTATTAAAAATGAGAACCGTTGCGTAAAAGAATTTTGGATTAATGAAAGAAAATTCAAAAATTTACAGATTGGACTCCCAAATGCTGGGAAAAGTACTCTCTTACGTGCGATAACCCGAGCACGCCCAAAAGTTGCATCTTACGCCTTTACAACTCTGAAGCCTCACATAGGAATGGTGCAGTACGATGATTACGAGCAGATCGCTGTTGCAGACTTACCTGGACTCATCGAGGACTCCCACAAGAACAAAGGTCTGGGAATAATGTTCTTGAAGCATGCAGAAAGGTGTGCTGCACTGCTGTTTATACTCGATATCAGTCTCGAGGAGCCCTGGGAACAACTGGCGACTCTCAAAAACGAAATCAATCAGTTCAGTACAAAACTCAACGAACGACCTAAACTAGTCATCGCTAATAAGATTGATATACCTGGGGCTCAGGTAAAAATCAATAACTGATTGATAAAAAAACAAATCCAATTAAAGATTTTCAATCGAATTTCCCCAAAGAATAATTCTAACATCATTATTAAAATTTCAGGACAACCTAGAAAAACTCCTCCAGAAAGTCGATATCCCAGTGATTCCAATATCCGCTAAAATGGGCACGAACATGGGCGTCCTGCTCCGAGAGATGAGGATCCTCTACGACGAGGAGTTGAAAAACCGCGAGATAAAATCAGAAGCAGATGTTGAATAAGTGAAAATCTATTTCTCACCCAAAAAATATGAAACGTACAAAATCGAATAAACAGCATTGAATCCCAGGCGACCTAAACCCCAAGCTTTAAATTAGCAAAATTCCTAGCAACTTTGATAGCCTCTTCGAGAACAGCGACATTGCTTCCAGAGGCCTGAGCAGACTCAGCTTTTCCTCCACCTTTTCCCCCCATCATTGGAGAAATCGCCTGGATCCATTCATTAGCCGTGAGGCCTTTCTGAATAGCTCCCTTGGAGACCGAACTGAGGGCGAAAATCTTTTTAGCCTCTTCATCGATACTGAGGACCATAGCACTGGTCTCTGGAGACAACGCCTTGATTTTCTTGAGTGCTCCATCAAGGGCTTTTGTATTGCTGAAGGCTTCGAGCTGCTCAACGAGCACAGGAACCCCGACATTATTCTGAATTATCTCCGCAGCTTTATCCACGACGAGGCCAGCCACTCTGGCCTTGGCAGCACGATCCTCGTCATCCAGAGTCTTCTTCATTCCCTTGAGCATCAGCCTCATCTCGTCCTTCTTCCAGGCGGGTATCACAGCATGAGAAACGTCCTCACTGAGCTCCACGATCTCCCTGACGATCTCCTTGGAGTTCGTCGGGCCCCTACTAATCCTCCCTTGAATTTCATTCAACCTGTTCTGCAGGAGTTCAGCCTTCTTCAGGGCCTTGGAGGCCTCAGGGCCAGTCAGCGCCACAATCCTCCTGATTCCCTTCGCAATAGCATCCTCACTGGCAATCACAAAGTCCCCAATGTGGCCAGTGTAAAGCAGATGAGTCCCTCCACAGAATTCTACACTCGTGGTGGTGCCAGCAGGCCCCAGGGGATCCTTTTCCAAATCCTCCACTGGCACTCCCATACTCACAACCCTCACAGGGTCAGGGTACGTCTCTTCGAACATCGCACGAAGTCCATTAACAGTCTTGGCAACAGCCAATTTACTCTCCTTGGCGTAAATTTTCCGGTTATCTTTCACCATCTCGTTGGTGTAGGTTTCGGTATCGTGTACCTGATTCGTCGATAAAGCTCCCTTATTCGTGAAATCAAATCGCAGTCTGTCGGGAGCCACCAGAGAACCCTTCTGGTCTGCTTCTGTCCCCAGGACTCTCCTGAGGGCGTAATTGAGGGCGTGGGTCGCCGAGTGATTGCTCATCACCAGGCGTCTTCGAGGAGTATCGATGTTCAGTTGGAGTTTATCCCCCTTTCTCAGGATGCCAGAACCAACCGTTCCTATATGAAGGACGTAACCACCTCGCACCTGGATCAGGAATTTCAGAATCAGGAAAAAACATGGAGATAAATTTCATATAATTTTCAGATTGAAAAAAATAAAAATGAATAACCTGAACGTTAGTGACTTTCACTTCGGTGGAGTCCTCCAGGTCGTTTCCCTCGAGTTTCACGAGGAATCCCTCGTCGTAGATCTGACCCCCTTGTTCAGCATAGAATGACGTTCTATCGAGAAGAACGCCTACCTCCTCGCCAGGATGAGCCTCATCCACAAATTTCTTCAACCGCCTGAGAGCTATAACTGTTCCAACACAGGGGGCGAAGGTGTAAGGGGATGACATATCAGCAGTTGCTTCATAGTCATACTTGGCTGAGTCATCTGTAGGTAAAACTCCAGAGTTCTGGAGTTCCGTGATTGCATGGACGTCGAGATTTATTTGATCGTCAACTCCACCTGCCTTCCCCTGGGAAGCGATCTGGGCAAGACGCTTCGACTCCTCATAGGCTGTCATGTCCACCTGCAGGCCCTTCTCCTCGGCCATCAGCTGGGTCAGATCCACGGGGAAGCCATAAGTATCGTACAGCCTCCAAGCGACCTCACCTGGCACCACTTTATCCGGGAGTTTGGCTATTGTCTTATCCAGAAGGTTTCTACCTCGAGACAGCGTCTTCAGAAATTGAGTCTCCTCTTCGTTTATAACATCGATGATAGATTGCGGGTCCTTCTGTAGCTCGGGGAACACGTCGCCCAAGAGCTCCACTACCACGTGCACCAGGGTCCCAAAGAAGCCAGGTTTCGCCGATAGCTTCTCCGTGGCGTAACGCACTGCTCGTCGCAGGATCCTTCGCAGAACATAACCACGACCTGTGTTATCTGGCATTCCACCATCAGCAAGAGCTATGGTGATGGTCCTGGCGTGATCAGCGAGTACTCTGTAGGCCATGTCGATGCCATCGACATCCTCAACCCCGACCTTGCCAGAGTAAGGTCGTGCCCCGGTGCCTTTCTGGATGGCCTCGAAGAGAGGCACGAAGAGATCAGTGTCGTAATTCGCTCTCTTGCCCTGAATAACTGATACAAGTCGTTCGAGGCCAAGACCACAGTCGATGTGCTTCTTGGGGAGGCTCCGGAGGCTGGCATCGGCCTCTCGATTGAACTGAATGAACACCAGGTTCCAAATTTCAAGGACGTCAGGGTCGTCCATGTTAACGAGATGGGCAGCCTCTCGTCCTCCAATTCGATCGTAGTGGAGCTCACTGCAGGGACCACAGGGTCCTGTCTCCCCCATCTCCCAGAAGTTGTCCTTCATACTCCCTGGGAGAACGTGGGACTCCGGGAGGCCCAGGGATAACCACAGCTCCTTGCATTCATTATCTGGAGCTAGCCCTGACTTCTCGTCTCCACCGAAGTACGTCACGTAAAGGCGATCACCTGGGAGACTGAGAACCTGCGTCAGGAACTCCCACGCCCACGTGCATATCTCTTTCTTGAAGTAATCACCGAACGACCAATTTCCCATCATCTCGAAGAACGTATGGTGGTATACGTCTTTACCCACGTCGTCCAGGTCGTTGTGCTTGCCTCCAGCTCGAATGCATTTCTGCGAGTTCACTACACGAATCCAACGTGACATATCGCTGTTCGGGTCCACTGTGCCCAGGAATATTGGCTTGAACTGATTTTTTTTAGAGAATTTTGCTATTAGAAATGAATTTCAACAATCATTGTCAACAAGATCTGTTATTTAAAATGGCTAAATACGAACTGGGAGATCAAGTGGCAAAGGAAAACGAAAATCGTCCTTTTTCTTTTCCACCGTCATCCACCACAAACGCACATAAATGAATTTAAATCACCTGGTTCATGCCAGCGTTAGCAAACAGCAGTGTCGGATCATCGTGAGGAATGGTTGAGCTCGAGTGGACGTACTCATGTCCCTTGCTCTTGAAGAAGTCGATGTAAGACTGTCGAATTTCCTTGGCTGTCATTGACGAACTCATCCTGAAGTATTTCTAAAATTCATGAGCAATAGTTCAGTAGTAGATTTCAACGGCCATATGGAATGCAAGCAACCTCAACTCCAGTTGCATCAGTGGATCAATAAGATCAATAAATTCTCAAGAAAATTGCACTCACATCTGTGATTCCTGACAATATTAACACACTCGAGCTCGATGACTTCCAATTCGATCTTAAAAAATTTAACGAATATCGAAGTCCCGTCAAATCCAACCAAGTCCCGGTGGATAAAACCTCTGGATAGAGCTCCTCAAAGAGGATTGACTAAAGTGGAGGGTCAGTTCTGGGGGTTTGAGTCACCCCAGCGGCATCGTAGTACTGCACCCCAAGAGAGGGAGGGCGCCACACGCAATGATGGGGTGTCCATCAAGTCGACGGGGTGAATTTTATTTTCTGCGGCATGAATGCTTTTTCTTTTTAAATAATTCCTATTTTTTTTTTTTTTGTAAATGGCTAATTAATGGAAATATCGTTTAAAAACTGAATATTTGAAAATCCAGAAGATATCCAGTGAAATTGAAAAATTAGCAATTTTTTAAAACGATACTTTTGCAATATATATACTCCTAATGAAAATTTCTTATTGTTATAGTACGTTATCCTAGCGGTAACGTGCTCGACTAGCACGCCGACGACCCGGGTTCGATCCCGCCGTCATTCATTTTTTTTTTTTAAATAATTCCAATTTTTTCTTTGGGTAGGTATTCACTGCAATTGAAAAATTCGAAATTTTTGAAAAAGTATCAGGGTAACATGAACATCGAGGAGCTATTCACTGAAATTTTCACTGAAAGTGAAAAATTCGAAATTTCTGAAAAAGTATCAGGGGAACATGACAATCGAGGAGCTATTCAC